TTATTTGAGCTAATATTTTATTTTTATGTGAAATATTAGTTTCATTTAAATATGTTTAATCTTTATCTTAGGGAGAATAAAATAAATCAGAAAAATAGTGTCTTTATTGCTAATTATTAAAAAGATTAACATGCTTAGATTAATACAATCATGGGTTACAACTATACAAAGATTAATTTTTACAGTAGAGTTTGAAAATAAATAAATATTTTTTTAAAACTCATATAATAGACTTTTATGGTCATTAAAAGTAGTAAAGAGAAATGGAACAAGATAGAGAAAAATAAAATAAAAAGGTAAAAAAGGACTGTTTTGTTATTTTTATATATTTTAGGGGTTATTTTTAAAATTTCTAAAAATTACTGGGATATTTTTGTAATTAAACTTATTATTTTATTAAAAAACTAACGGAAATCCGTTAATTTGGACGGAAAATTGGCCGATTGGACGAAATTGGCAAAAATTTAAAAAATTAGGGTATATTTGATTATCCGAAAATGTATTAGATATAATTGACGACGAAGGCAAAATTTTAGATAAGAATGATATTTTTTCCTCAGGTTACACGGCTACAGAATATAAACCTAAGGAATGCTTTGCCATGCATGGTTGACAGATGTCTTACTACCCGTTGTAACTTCAATGAGCACTATATAATATCATATGAAAAAAAAAAATGAATTCTCAAAACCTATGATGATTAATGGAATTCAGTTCTTTCGATTTTATTACAAGACTCGCCTATTGGCTTTCTTTGCCATGCATGGTTGACAGATGTCTTACTACCCGTTGTAACTTCAATGAGCACTATATAATATCATATGAAAAAAAAAAAATGAATTCTCAAAACCTATGATGATTAATGGAATTCAGTTCTTTCGATTTTATTACAAGACTCGCCTATTGGCTTTCTGCTGGTACTTCAATCGCAAGGGTGGGTTTTCACTTTTCCTTTCTTATGTTAACTCCGTAGTGACTTTTGTCCTTCTTTGCATTGACCACTCAATGCCACCGTTTTTTGCAACTGGCGTGCACTATTTCTAGCAGCGACGACTCACCGAATTGATTGAAATGTTTATGTTTGAATAGGTTTTTTGATCGAGAATGTAAAAAAATATATTGAAAATATAAAAAGATATGTTGAGATGGGATAGTTATTAATAAATTAATTTAAAAATACCACAAAAAAAGAAACAAAATGTTTTCCAAAATAAATTACTGCATCTTTTGTATTGGAAGTTTAGAACTATGAGATCTTAATAAGAATGCAGATTATAATATTCGCTAGCAGTACTATCTCCTCTCCTATAGACCTATCCACATATAATATATTAGAGACAATTTATTGGGTGTACCTAGAAGTATTATGCTCTCTCTCTTATTTTTTACATTACTAGTCTTTCTTGTACCTTTTTTCTCAATCTTCCTATAATTTATAGATTTAGTCACTGTGACTTTTTTTTTCTCTCCTCTGAAAAACATCTCTAATCTTTAAACGAGCACATCTCATTATCCGTGAAGAATTAAATAACGAGTTACACATGAATTTTATTGTATTCGTCAAGATCTACCTAATAAGATCCATATGTAATTTTTTTTTTTTATTTAAAAATGATTAAATTCTGATGGGTGGAAATAGGGTGGATATCCAGTTTAAAAAATATAGATAACCAACTTATTTTAAATCGGTTATCCATTGCATTCATGCTGATTATCCAACCAGTTTGAACTGGTTATCCATTTTGTTTGTACTGGTTATCTATTTGGTTTGTATGTCTATCCAACTTGTTTTGTAGTTGTAATCCAACGGGTATATATGCATATCCAATTTGTTTGTACTGCTTATCCATTTGGTTTGTATGTCTATCCAACTTGTTTTGCATTTGGAATCCAACGAGTTTGTATGCATGTCCAACTTGTTTGTACTAGATATTCATCTATTTGGTTTGTATGCATATCCAACTTATTTGTACTATTTATCTATATATGCTTATACAAATTGTGTGTACTTGTTATCCAATCATTTTTTTTTTGTTTGGAAAAAATCGTTACCCAATGCGCTAATACTAGTTATCCATTTTGTTTATACCGCTTATCCAATCATTTCTTTTTCCTTTGAAACACGGTTATCCAATGTGTTCGTAGTGATTATCCAATCGCTTTATACTGGTTATCCAGTTACCTTTACTGCTAGTCCAAATAAGTTTGTATTGTTTCTCTAATCATTTTTTTTTTTGAGAAAATGCTTGCCCAATTAATGTGTTAGTACTGATTATTCAACCCCGTGTTATTATTTCTTCAGCTATTTTTTTTAATTTTATGAAAATACTTGTCCGATGTGTTTGTACTTGTTATCCAACTAACTGGTACTACTTATCCAAGCTAGTTTTTTCTTAAAATGGTTATCCATTGTGTTCATACTGATTATCCGACCGGTTTGAACCGATTATCCATTTCGTTTGTACTGATTATCCAATCTTTTTTTGGGGGAGGGGGGAATCATTGTCCAATGTATTAATACTGATTATCTAATTAATTAATTCTATTTATCTAACCTAGTTTTTCTTTTTAATTTTTTTCTAAAAAAAGAAAATGGTTGTCCAACGCGTTCATATTGATTATCCAACTGCTTGGTATAGATTATCTTATCATTTTTTTTCTCTACTATTTGGGAGAATCCTTGTTTAATTTTTTGTACTGACTATCCAACCGTTTTGTATTGGTTATCTGATCATTTTCACTGATTATCCAAACATAATTTCTTTTCTTTTTTCTTTTGAGAAAATATGTGTCCAATTTGTTTATACTAATTATCCAACTTCTTAGTGATAGTTATCCAACCTTTTTTTCCTTGCTCTTTTATGAAAATGATTGTCCAATTTTTTTATACTGATTATTCAACTAGTTTGTACTACTAATCCAATTATTTTCAATGGTTATCCAAGTGGTTTGTAATGGTTATCCAAATATTTTATTATTTTATTCTTTTTTTAAGAGGAGTGAATGTCAAAAATATAATTGGATAACTAGTACAAATAAAATGGATAATGAATCCAAACTGGTTGGATAATATGTATGAACGCAACGAATAACCATTTTTCAGCTTCTTCCATTTTTGCCCGTAAAATTTAAATGCATTTAAAGTTCAAAAAAAAAATTCAACATTGACCTTATCGGATAGATCTCGTCAAGCACTATAAATTTCATATATAATTCGTGTTTTAATTCTTTACGGATCAAAAAATATATGTAATACAAGAATCTTAATATAAATTAAGTTGGTTATCCATTTTTTAAACTGGATATCCATCTTAATTCTGCTCATCAAAATTTGATCATTTTTAACCTCGAGAAAAATATCCGATATGGATCTTATAGGATAGATTTCGACGAGTACTATAAATTTTGTACATAATTCGTTCACAAATCCTTTACGGATTGAGAAATATGCTCGTTTAAAGATTAGAGATTTTTTTTAAAGAGAGAGAAAAAAAGTAACAGGGACTAAATTTGCAAAATATAAGAATAGTTGAAAAAAAAATACAATAAGGACTTGTAATGCAAAAAATAGGAGGGGTGTACATACTCTCGGCTTTACTGGATACAGACTCATATTAGATCCTTGTATAATATGTGTTAAAAAGATAGGAATGTAGATTTATTACCCAATTTAAAGTAGTAATATCTTACCCCCGAAACTAAAAACTATTTAACTGCTTGTACCTGATCTATTTATTGACTCACCCTAATGGCTTATTTTTGGGAGCACATTTAAAAAAAAAAATTTGTCCTAACAATGTTTGACATCTGACCCAATAATAATTGATGAAAGCGAAATTTAGCACAACGTGGGCTATTTTCAACTGATAAATAGTGTTCTTTCTATCTCAAAATTATTGTCTAATTTTTTAAATAGAAATTATATTACATTACTTTACTAGAAATTATCCAGCAACGATTAATAATGAAAAGATACAGTCAAAAGAAGAATACAATTCGTGGATAAGCATATCTAAATCTATCCAATACAACAATGTATACATCACGTGCCAGATGACCAATCTCATTAAGAACATATCTCTAGTTATCTGATGAAGGGTCCAAATTATGATCTGTTAAATAAATTTAAGATGATTGAATCTTCTCGAACCGCACAATTTGAAGTAACGAACAAAACTACGACTATCATAACAATAATATGAAAGACACCACAAATACCAAAAAAATATATATTACCTTCTCAATGGATAGACATAATCTACTAAAGAACAATAATTTGAAAACAATTGCACTTATTAACCAATACAAAAATTAAAAATAAAAAAAAATTCAAATCAATTTTCCCATCAACCTATGAGGGAAGATGAGAGAAAGAGAAATTTTTTGAGAGGGGCGGCTAGAGTTTAAGAGAATAGGGAGAGAACTTGTTTGTCGAAACTGTATCAATGCACAATGTTGTGAGGAGACAATAAATTATTTTTCAGTTTGTATTTTCATTATTAGTTTAATTTGTACCAAAAAAAAAGTAAATTGATTAATAATTTCTGGATGGAGTGAGGATTAGTACTTGAAAGAACTCAGTACTACTCCCTCCGTCCCATAATTATTGTCCAGTTTTACTAAAATGAAATATTTTATTTTTGGTCAAACTTAGCTATATTTCACCTTAAACCACCGGATATACCCTTACATAAGTAATTGTTTAACCACTAAGATTTTATGGATAATGTTTTTTACTAAAGACAAATGTGTAACTTGATCCATAAAAAGTCAAATTGGACAATAATTTTTGGATAAAATTTTTTAGGCATAGTGGACAATAATTATGGGACGAAAGGAGTATAATTAATTTGTTGCAAAAGAAGAAAAAAAAAAAAACACATGTCGGGAAGGGTTAGTTGAGGGTATTGCATGGCCAAAACTTTGACAGCTAGTGAAGCTCCAGCCATGCTTATATATAGTCCACAGAAAAGAAGTTACATTAATTTCTTTAACACGTGACTTTAATGACTATATAAATTTTATATATATATATATATGTGAGAAGTAAGAACAACTTACTCATGGTGTCGACCAAATTTAATTTGGTTCACAAACACACGAAATTTTAACCTACGAGATCATGGATAGTTTCAGTCCTCATCAGAAGAAACCCTTGTTATTACTATTATGGTTGTTGTTCGGCAGCTGTTTCGTTTTTACAAACGTTGGTGGATCGAAATCAGTGGTGAAGACACTGCCAGGATTCCCACCTGGGACTACTCTTCCGTTCACACTCGAGACTGGGTATGGTATGCTAAATTCATTTGTTTTTTTTTTTTCTGTTCTTTGTTATTCAATTTGAATTTTCATTCTTAGTTCAAATTGAATAAAAACAAAAAATCAAACTAGATAATAAAATTTATTTGTATTAATGTATATATATAGGTATATTACGGTGGGGGAGGAGGAGGATGTGGAACTCTTCTATTACTTCATCGAGTCGGAAAGGGATCCGGAGACTGACCCGCTCCTGTTATGGCTCACCGGTGGCCCTGGTTGCTCTGGTTTCTCCGGTCTCGTTTACGAAATGGGTACTTTTTCAGTTTTCTCCCCTTCAATTCCCACCACGGTACTGATTGTAAAATTTCATTCCATTTCTTTCCATCTTCTTGGTTTATTCGCTAGATAGATCCTTTCTTAATTTTGTTCAGTCGTAATTGCTGACGGGTGAAAAGCTGAAAACGACAAGAACCTAGGAGAAATCATAAATGCATCAGACTACCTTTCTCTTTTCGGTGAATTTTGTTGCTTAATGAGTTAATGTCAGATGTCTGTAGTCTCCGTTGGACGACATTACGTCTCAAGATTTTAGGGGTTTTTTAAAAAAAAAATAAAATAAAATAATATATGGAAACAAAATAACAGTATCACATTATATAATTTATAAAATTTTATAAAAATAAAAAATATAATGTTAGTATGACAAAAAAGTACTAATAATTAATTTTCTTTCCCGTGAAATAATGTTACTATTGATGAAAATTTTTCGATATAATAAAAAATCCAAATGAATGGTTACATTTAATTAAAACCGAAATATTGAAGAGACCAATCACATCATTCACTACATAGCTAGAGGTCTTTTGCTTTTCGCGTTTTTTTTCCCTATCGAAACAATTATTGTTTTGGGTCTTTCTTTTACATATAGTACAGTATTTATTATCAGTAACAATGATCGTTTCGGTCGATCATTTATTTATAGCCATCTCGATAGATGAGATAATTATTACCACAAATTAGAATTACTTTATTTATAACTATAACTCATTTTGAATTCTCAATTTATATTTTATAGTTAAAAATGAAAGAGTTCTTTTCTCATCTTGCCTAGTGCCTACCTAGTTGGCAATTCTATTTTCGTGACATAAGATACACTCAACCTGCATAAAAAGAGTCTTAATAATTGTCAGTCCTCCCTACTAGGCTGCCACTATATATAAGGTAGCCACTATAGTTGTTGTTGATACTTCATTTATCTCAAAATTATTATTCAGTTTGAATTTTTACTTTTAGTTCAATTTGTAAGAAAATTAAAAATATAAATCGGAGAATAATTTTGGGACGGAGTAAATGCAATATTTGCATAGTGTTCTACCTAATGAAAAAGTTAAATTTTAAAAACCCACTTATGCAAATGTCTAGGTGACAGACCTTATATTTGGATAAAATTTTTCAGAAAAAATACTATCTTATCATTTCATTTATTTTTATTTTTCAATCTCATGGAGCCCCAAATTTTGGGGCAGGAAAAGATTATAATTACTTGAGTTTATTACTTTACATATTGAGTACTACAACTAACATATATGGCATTTATTTATTAAGTAATAGATACACCATTTGGTGCACTATTTCTTATTCTACACCTTCAAATAACTAATAAAAATATTATTAGGTGATGTATTTCTTATTAATGTTTGTATAATCATTTAGATTATTATAATTTTACCTTTAAATGTTTACTTTTTCCGGGATTAGGGTTTATTTATTTTAAAATTTTAGATATAAAAATATTTAAAACTTTCATAAATGTAACTAAAAAATAATTAACTTAATTGATTAAATTTTATCTAATAATGAAATATCATATAAAGTGAAATTCAATAATGAGATGAAGTATGTGAATTGTGTATCATTACAGAGCTTCTAATGCAGGCCCATTAAGGTTTGATTTCGAAGCTTTCGACAAAGATGGGTCGGCCCAATTGATTCTCAATCCATATTCATGGACCAAGGTGCAAGATCCCTCGTTCCTCTCTAGTTAGTTTTTTCTTATTTTTAGAATTAAAAATAAAAAAGCATGATACTCCAACAATAATAATACTAATAAATAAATAAATAAGCTACTACTGTGCATTTTTAATGGAATACGTAGTTTTTACTTATTATTACACAAATATGTCGGGAAATGTAATGATAAAGATAAAATGATCGATATTCCACGTGTGCACCACTAACTAGGTACAGTAATTATGCTAATTAATCTGGCCATGTATCAACAATTATTTAACACAAATTTTTTATTTTCGTCCAGAGAGCCAATATAATTTTTTTGGATTCACCGGTTGGGACTGGGTTTTCGTACAACACCACAGAGGAGGGTTATAATACCTCAGACACAAAAGCCTCAGAAGATGTATATACATTTCTTAGAAAGGTGATCCATCTTCATAGTGCTACATGTTACACTAGAGTTACTATTACATTGGCTCTAATTTATTTTCTTTGATTTTATATATGTTTTTTTTGCTAAAAGCTATATTTCCCAACAAAAAAATCACGATAGCTAGAAATTAACACGAAATTGGGAATACATAATGCAGTGGTTTTTGGAGAATCCTAAATTTATGAAGAATCGCCTCTACATTGCCGGTGACTCATATGCCGGAAAGGTTATTCCACTGGCCGTGTTGACGATTGCACAAGGTTATTTATATTAAGCATGTTTAGTTAATATTTGTTGGAAAATACGTAGTAAAACTTTATCAAAGCCTTCTTAATTTAACTTTATTCTTTTTTCCATTCTATGACATATATATATAGAGCTTAATTTTTTTTTAATCTATTTAATAAATAGTTTCTGGTCAGGCATTGAAGCAGGCGTCAAACCAAAAATGCATCTCCAGGGTTACATTCTTGGAAATCCAGTGACAGATGACCGCATTGATGGAAATGCACAAATTCCATATTCTCACCGCTTGGCAATTTTATCTGATAAATATTACAAGGTCAACTCTACAAAACCTTCTCTTAAAATTTATGACATTATCATTGATTTGGGGTTTAACCATGCATGCTTGTTTCAGATGGCAAAAGTCTACTGTAAGGGAGAATATACAAATCCAGATCCCGGCAATGCGCTGTGCCAATATGCTCTCCAACTTTTTCAGATGGTACCACCTCACGGCTCTACTTAATTTATACCGTATATAATTAATTCGTTGATTAAAAAAAAATATGCGTACGTGTAAATTAATCTCTATTCCTGAAATTATTTTTCTATTTTCGATAATGATTTTTTTTCGTTGTTATTGTTATGGGAATAATTTAATCGAGTATAAATGTTGATTAATTTGTTCTTAACATCACATGTCACAATTTCAACTTAAAAGTGCATCAAGGATATATTCAGAGATCATGTCCTGGAACCAGTGTGCAAGCCTACTTTGGGAGATGATTATTCTTTTATTAGGTTAATCTCTCCTCGATCACCTCGCCGCTGTCGCGTAAGTTCGTTAATTTCTTGATTAATTTGTGTGTTTTTTTTTGGGTGGGGGGGGGGGGAAAAAAAGAAAAAGAAACCTGACTGAGTTATTGAAATAGATGGAAAAGAATACTAATTTCATTAATGAGTCTGAATGATCTAATCCAATTCTATGTTACGCAGGATGACAATTATATTGTATCACATATATGGGCCAACGACATAGCCGTTCAAGAAGCTCTTCACGTCCGAAATGTAAATAATGAAAATCTCAGTTTCTCTAATCCTTTATTTTATTTTATTTTTTTCCTTTTTGGTTTATGGTGTTACTTGATTGATCGAAATTTTTACTTTTATTTATTGATTCTAAAATAATTTGTCTTAATTATTACTTCCTCTGTCCCAAAATTATTGTCCAGTGTGAGATTTCACTTTTAGTATAATTTGAATTAGAAATGAAAACTCAAACTGGACAATAATTATGGGACGGAGGGAGTATTACATATGTACTCCTAGCTACAATTTAAATTTTGTAACTTTGCTTGCATTATGATTTGTTGGCGATGAATTTAGGGAACAATCAAAGAGTGGAGAAGATGCAATCGAGAATTGTTACATTACGACTTCAATATGGAGAGCGTTGTTCCCTACCACAAGCTTCTAACTGACAAAGGAATCCAAGCATTAGTATACAGGTGTAATTCAAATTTCAAACTATATGTTGGGATTTATATGATGTAGCTTGATGTCATTTTGGCATTTATTTAAATAGTAACAATTTTTTGTTTTATGTTTATAATTAACAGCGGTGATCATGACATGGTGGTTCCATATATTGGTACGCTGGAATGGATACGACTTCTCAACCTCACAGTTGATGACGATTGGCGACCTTGGCTGGTTGATGATCAAGTTGAAGGGTTTGAGTTTCTTTTTCTTCTTTTTTTTTTAACTTTTAATAAGTAAAAAAACAATATAATCAGCTCCCAATTTCATACTGAAATTAATATACTTTCTCATTTTAGTTTAATAATTTATTATGAATAAATTAAACGAGGCTGAAAGAGTAACGACAATGAACGAATCAAAATAACTAACAAGTGCAAATGTTTGAGCTTGCCATTGCCAAAAGTGGTGAATCTGAAAATTCACGACTCCTGCTGCAGGTACACGGAAAGATACATTCACAAAGAAACTCAATTTCATTTGACCTTTGCTACAGTTAAGGTGAGATTTTAATAATAGTGCTTTGAAGACGACATTGATAATTCGTCTTTATTTACATGTATATATATTTATGATCTTGCTAGGGTGCTGGCCATACTGCTCCGGAGTACAATCCTAAACAGTGTTTAGCAATGCTTGAACGCTTTCTTGATTCAGATTCTTTGTAGAAGATATTGATAAATTTCGATGGTCACACACCATGATGTAGACTTTCATCGAATAAATAATTTCAGGTGATTCTTTTAGAATTATTGTAGTAGAAATCCTTCACCAATGCTGGAGAGGGTTTATCGATCGATGGTCACCAAATACTGTAGTTGGTTGGAGATGATCATTTTTATAGCGGATGAGATTCAACCTTCTTACTTTTAGATCTTTAATCATTTGGACTGATGGTTTATGACATAATTGAGTTTTACAGTCAGTTTCACAACTTTCTAATAGCACAAACACAAATAATGTCGTCCTAGTAATTTAGGCTTCTTTTGGATAAGAGTTATAAAAAGTTGTTCAAAAAAGTCTGTTTGTAGCAAAAGTTGAAAAAGTATATTTTGAAAAATAATGCATTTAGACAAAAATTGTTCAAAACCCTTTTAATAGTTAAAAATATGAAAAAACTATTTGGATTAGGTCTTTTTTTCAAAAGGACTTTCTGTTAAAACATAATTTGTGAACTTTTTTCTTTTTTAAAAAAAAAAAATCATTCTTACACAAATTGTCGTTTTCATTTTTTTCACTTTTCTTTCCTAAATTTTTGTTTTATTATTCGCAATTGTCTTGTTCTAAATTTTTTTTTTAACACACTTTATCTTTAGTTTATTGAGGGTGAATGAGATCAGGAGAGACTTAACAAAATGCCTCATGAATGGAGAAGAAAATGTTGGCCATATCATAAGGGTGAAACTTGAAAATGGTTGAAACAATCAAATGTAATTTAGTAAATCATTTATTTATCGTGTATCATGTGTATATTATATATATATATATATATTTCTCTATTTGTTGTGTAACATTATATTGAAAGTTACATAACTTCTTCCAAAACCCCCAAAAATAAACAATGACCTTATATTGCCTCTGATTTTTGGTTGTGCAAAAAAAGTGCACAGCCACAACAAAGTTCCCAAGTTTCTTTAACTTGGATGCCTAGTTACAAATTACAATCATTTTTTACTCAAAATCATTCTACGAAAACTCATCAATCTGTCAATGTGTTCTTAATCAGCCATTCGTCACGATTTAAACCAACTCAAAACTATCAATAATGTATATATGTTTGTGCAGTCCTCGGGTGATGTGTTCTTAATCAGCCATTAATTCAACAATATGTTCTCAAACCGACTTAAAGCTATCAACAATATGTTTGTGCAATCCTCGGGTGATGGATGCACAAATTCGAACTGGAATCCATTGCACTGAGTTTCAATTTATACTGTGTGAGTTAAAAAAACCAATTTAGGCAAAGAGAAGGGAAGAAAGGCACAGATCACTAACCAAAAAAAGTTGCCGCATACTGCAGAACACCAAAATTGCAGCAGCATCACATTATAATCCAACATATGCTTCTAAATTTCCTGTTGTTCAAATATAGGGAAGAACTACTACAAAAGCATACATAACTGAAAAAGAATGGGGAGAAAGGCACAGTAAAGGATGAATAATTAAGGAGAAAAGTGCAAAAGAACCCATAAGTGAAAGTATTCTAGAGAAGGATTGCACTATGGATGATGCATGGAGAAGAATCTACCCTATTCTTTCCTGAAGTTTCTGATGGTTTCAACTCAAAAAGTTTAAAACACTGAAATACATTCTATCGAATTCAATTCTATGAACAAATTGCAAAAGGGAGTCAGTTGCAAAAGGAGAATAACTCAACAACCTAATCTAATTTACAGAATATTCAGCAAAAGTAAATTCTTCTCATCATCATCATCGCAGGTGCTTATTGCAGTTACCCAATAGACAACAACTAGATTATCAAAGTCATAAAGTGATCAACTAATCATATTAATTAGTTAAAGAACATGTTAGAGGATAGTGAGTTCAGAAACACCATAAATGCATTCAAATGCTTCAAGAAAATTTTGCAACACAACAATAGAAATCTCTTAATCAAGAATTGAACAGGGTATTCAAATATATGGCAAGCCTATACATAGGATTCCAACAAATGCAGGTAGGGAATAAAGGTATGAAGATGAAAAATCTCATTCTGGAACAAAAATCATGAAAAAAGTAGCTTTGTGGACAAAGAACGAGCTTTTCAATGACCAACCGAAAATAGACTACATAACCAAAAAGAGATTAAAAGACCTCTGAAAAGCAAGACAATATTCTAGCAGACACATCACTAAGGAGAACAAAGATAGTGCTCCTACCGTCTAAATAATTGTCCAGAATTTTATATAAGTAGGACAATAGTCTCAGGACAAAGTTCAGAAAATAAAAGTTTTTTACATTTGCAACTGGTACTTTGCAATCATGTAATTCATAACTGGCTAAACTTTAGAGCAGCTAAGATTTACAGCCGAGAAAGATAACTTTGCTTCAGAATAAAGCTAAGCACTAAGCAAACACATTCAACTTAGTATAGTTCTTTGAATTAAAAGATACAGGACATAGAATATAATAACTAGCCTTCACTGAATTCGAATTTTACAGGTTGCTGATAAAATGCAGGACATGAAGTGCATATTCTCAAGGCAAGAATTTTGCAGATTACTTTGGAGTTACAGCAAAGAACTTAATACCAAGAAATGCAGAAACACACCAAACCACACTCTTCCATTATTTACAAAGGTTAAAATCACAACCGAATTTGAATATGTGCCAGTTGCTCAAAACAAAGAAACAATGTTGCAATATCAGTTGATATTTTTAATATACAAAGTTGCAGCTGGATGAAATAGTATAATATACTCAGTTTCAACTGAATTTACCAAAAAACTAGTTCGAGAAAACAATGTCATCAATAAAACATAATGAGTGTTCTTTTTTAGAAGCTCATTCTGCAACAAAAATCAATTAAAAGGTTTGTGCATAGAGAATGAGATTCCCAAGGACGAACCAAAAATAATCTACGTACCTTATATGAAACAAAAAGTTCAAAATCGTCGGCAATGACAATTAAGTCAACCCGATAAATCAATTTCAAAACATCTATACATCTCCAAAATTCAGAAGAACGTTCATGTACCCACTTCAACAATGCCTCGATCTCCAATCAATTGGACACAAAAAATCAAATTAGAAATAAGGAAAAACATCACAAACTTTAGGAAAAGAGAATCACTTGTTGCCATAACCAAAGTCAATAAGATGGAACCACGGACACATCCCAATCCAATTCACTTTACAGCTGAACTGAACAATAACATGTAATAATTCCATATAAAAAAGGATCGTTGAGATGATTATTTGAGCCAAAAGATGATTACCTGATATATTACGCACTCTTTGATTTAATTTAAAATTCAGGAAAATATTCCATATCTAAATCATTGCAAAGCTTAGAAAAACATAGATGGAAGAGACCACTTACGGTTAAGAAGCTCCTAAATTGGTTAAGTGAATTCAACTTGACGTTCAAATCCTCTCCAAATTCGTCCTGTTTCCTCTAGACTGCTGCTCCTCTTGCTCTGATTTGCTTTCTCCCAATTCATTCCGGCTATATCCCTTCAATCAATCTTCAGTTTATTGAAAGTTACGAGTGAAGCCCATGAAAGAAAAACCCATCTGAAATCTTCAAAGGGACAATTGGTACTAGATCACCGGTGCAGCACGACGGAAGGAGAGAAGAGTGAGAAAGTGAAATGACGGCGGATCTAGGACATGGGCAAAAGTGAGAAGGCAACGTATTTTTTCTTTATATTTATTATCCGAATTTTTTATAATCCGCCCTCGACCCGGTTTGAGACCTGTAAATAGAGATGAAAAAGTCTGTTTTAAAAAAATAAAAAATACCCCCTACCTATTTTTTGAATAGTCTGTTTCAAGCTTTCTTTTTTTCAAAATGATGTTTTGAAAAGACCTTAATTATTTTGTCCAAATCGTATTTTAAATTCTAAATAGACTTTTAAGTCTTATAAAAGTCTTTTTAAAACTCCTGTCCAAATGTAACCTTAGTTTTGTAACTTTCTAATAGCACATCCGATAAAATAAATTAACAAACATCGAGCAAAGCAAAATCCATGCCCTTCCAACTCGGCTTGCTCCTCCCCAACCGTTGATCCGTTCTCAAAGTTCATCTTCTGCCCATCTGGCAAATTTTCAGCGCACATAAAACACTGTTGTCTCTTTGTATTAACCTTCACACAAAACAATTAAAAATTGGAGAAGACAAAGGAGAAAACACCTTCACTGGGTGTGGAACGCAACAAAGAAAATTGACATCTTAACAAACACTCAACACACTCCAGAGGATACAAATATAACCTATTCTGAAAAGGACAATGATTTCACTGTCACATATGCTAGATTCAGAAACCACCTGGTGTAGCAATTAACTCTTCAAATTGATTATTAGTCCCTATTACCAAATTAAATTAAGAACAAAAAGATTTGATAGGACCAACAAACACTTAAGTTAGTCCAAGTCATACAGAGTTTAAGTAAAGGTCTCCTATTTAAACCTTGTAAACGGAAAAGAAAAAAACAATGTTAATTAGAAGACCTTTTTGCCGACATTGGTGGATAAGATAACATAAGTTAATTTATTCAGAATACTTAGCTTATGTATCCCTAATCCCTACAAAAGAACAACAAATTTATGGGGTGGAAAATGCCAGTCTTGATGTGGGTGGGTTCTTTCTTTTTTTCTTTTTTTTTTTTTTTTCTTATATTACAAAATGTGGATTCTTTTTGTTTAAACTTTAATCGATCTGACCCCAAACAAAATAAAAAATAAAAAATAAAATAAAATTAATGCTTAGCATAAAAAGCGTTGGCCACGAAGAACGCTTTCAACAATATCTAAGCAGACTACGTATCTCTTTAACAAGTCTGCAAAACCGGGATAATAATTTTCCCAAAGGAGGAGAAAAATGAGGGGCCCGATTCCGCCACCGAAATACGGCGCAGCGCCGCCGGAAGACGACGGAGATCCCCTCAGGACAACCGCCAATGCCCTCCCAAGCGTAGGGGCCGGGCTACGGAAAAAGGCAGCGGGAATCCGACCATGGCTCCTATTGGACTCGACGGGGCAAACCCAAGTGGTGGAGGCCGGAAAGCACGCAATCATGCGGCGGACGGGGCTGCCGGCGCGTGATCTTCGAATACTCGATCCCCAACTCTCTTATCCGTCCAGTATTTTGGGTAGAGAAAGGGCCATTGTCATCAATCTTGAGCACATCAAGGCCATCATCACTGCCCAAGAAGTTCTCCTCCTCAATTCCAAAGACCCCTCCGTCAATCCCTTTGTTGAGGAGCTTCAGCGCAGAATATTGCGTCATCACCACATCAAGTCCCAGGTAACTTTTTCCCTTTAACTTTCCCGTTAATTCTATTCGGCCTTTTTGGTTCTTATATTGAGGAATTGCTTTGAGAATGTTAAAAATTAATAAGGAAAACTATAAGATTTTAACCTGTTCTCTTGAGGGAATGAAAAGATTATTTTCTCTTGGTTTTGTTAGTGTTTGTTGATGGATGGATGTTGAAGTTACTTTATTTTGTGATGAAGGAAGTTGGAGCATATGTGGATGATGTGGACTGGACGAATTTATATGATCTGGAAGAACCGCGGTCCAGGAATGCTAGCCCTCCCCGCAGATATTCCGGGAGCATTACTAATAACGATGAGGAGGGTAAGACAGATGGGAAACAGCAACCTTTGGAGAACCGCGACAGGCCTAAACTGCTTCCCTTTGAGTTTGTCGCTTTGGAGGCATGCCTTGAGGCCGCTTGTAGTTCACTGGAGAATGAAGTAAACAAATTATTAGTATTTTTTTGGTCTTTGGTTCAGTATGTTATGGTTACTTTCTGCTGATGGTTGTTTTCTCATTGTAGGCGAAAACATTGGAGCTGGAAGCTCATCCAGCTTTGGATAAGCTGACTACTAAAATTAGTACACTTAATCTCGAAAGAGTGCGACAAATCAAAAGTCGTTTGGTGGCAATAACCGGACGAGTACAGAAGGTGCGATCAATGTGGTAATTATGCCATTGTACATGGACTAGCTTGGTTTATTCACAGTTTTGCTTGATAAACAATATTATTTCTTGTGGGTTGGTGGAAACTTCATTGCTGTCAGTTAGACATAGATGACAGACTCGTATACACATCTCTCTGTATTCATTTTATAACGTTCCATTGTTGCAAGTTTCTTCGACATATAAATTATTTAAAGTTAAGTGTTGCATATTGAGATGCCACTTACAACTTTAGGGAATCGTTTGCAATTCACAGCTTAACTAAGATCCTTTCATACTTAAGCATACCAAGTTACTTGCTGCAAGTCTAGATGCCGCCTGTCGCTAAAGGGAAGTCATATCATATAAGCACTTTTTTGTGAGACCTCCTGAGGCTATATGTGCATGTATTTGCAGCACAAAAACAATTTCTTTCATACATAAGCATAAGAGAACCAAAAATTTTCTCTTGTTCGTGGGCTCTGTAGAAAAACCGGGCAACTTTGCAACTGTTGTAGAGACTTGAGTGAGTTGATGCTCTGGACTGTAGCTTTTCTGATGTTACCTGTTAAGTTCATCCAAGTTCATTAGCTCGTCTGCTAGTTCTTTTTCTATCTACACTGATATGCTTTGCTTGGAACTTATTGGCTTGAAAATACATGGTTGTCATTTTTCCTATTCCTATTGGGGTGTCTTTAAATTGGTTGATGAGCATTCTGTTTTGTGGTGAATTTGATTTGCATTCTTCGTCGTTTAATGATGCTTATGTTCGCCATCTTAGGTGAGGGATGAGCTAGAGCATCTGCTGGATGATGATGAAGATATGGCTGAGATGTATCTCACTGAAAAGTTTGAAGAACAGCAACTTGAAAGTTCTTCTGTTTCGTCTATACCTGATCAAGATGGCTCAGATGATGAAGTTAATGGTCAAGAAATGGATGATAGGCATGTCATATACTGTACTTTATATCCTTTAATGATGAATTTCCTTTTCTTATGTGACCTTCTCATGTTAAATATCGTTTTAATTAAAATTTCAGGGCCCCTGGTGATCTGTTACTGGAAGGTAAAGAGGGTTCAACTAGTTATGATGCCGGCCTTCACAATAGTGAAAATGCACAAGAACATCTATATGTTAGCACTCGGGCATTGAGCAAAGATAGTCGTGGAACCCGCACTAGTACCACGCAAAGTGGTATAGGCAAGCAACTTGATGTGGAAGAGCTTGAAATGCTTTTGGAAGCATACTTTGTCCGAATTGATGGCACACTGAATGATCTCTCCACTGTAAGTACTAATCTTCAACATGAACATGGTTTTATTCATTTATTTATAATTTTTTAATGCATAAGAGTAACTTTCACGAGCATCTTTTTCATATAAATCCTATTCTTTTTCCTAGATGAAGGTTCTATGCTATACCTTAGGCATGCATAAGTTCCATATTTTACTTCGTATAATCAAAATCAGCAACTGAGAGATACCTGCTTGAGATTGTCTTGAACTTGGGTGTAAGAAACATTTAGATGCACTGTTAGGATATACAAAATTTAAACTTTTAACTTAAATTAAAATTGGCGGAGAAGTTAACACCAAAAAAAAAAAAGAAAAGAAAAAAAGAATCGGCGGAGAAAGTTCCTAAAGGAGTTCAATCGAATCCATCAAAAAGGGATATGAAGTATCTAATATTAAATGAAACTGTGCTTTGTTAGAACTTGATTTTTGGTCTAACTTATCAGTTTTACTGTTTTCATGTGTGTAACTTGAGCTAGTGTTGTTTGGTGCCCTGACAAAAACGTAAAGGACTACATGACTTGTAAATTCACTCCATAAGCCATGGTCCTTGAACAAGTTTATTTGTTTGATGTCACTGACATTACATATTTGTTGTGTCCTTGAAAGCTGAGGGAGTATGTAGACGACACTGAAGATTACATCAACATAATGCTTGATGATAAACAAAACCATCTCTTACAAATGGGTGTCATGTTGACAACTGCGACCCTTGTGGTAAGTGCTTTCGTTGTGGTGGCTGGAATCTTTGGAATGAACATCTCGATTGAATTGTTCGACCCTACCAAGTCGGGGATGCCGGAATTTCTATGGACCGTGGGGGGTAGTACCGCTGGTACCATCATCCTTTATGTGGCTGCGATTGCATGGTGCAAGCATAAACGCTTGCTGGAGTGACCAATTGGGGAATGCAGTCGGCACCTATTAGAAAATAGAAACCATGTTGTATATTTCTGAGGAACTATGCGTGCATATTTATATAGGTTTCTGTTATTGTAATGAAAATAATCATGCTCTGCCTCACAGATTTACTAAGCAGCAAAATCTGGTTATGTAAAGGCACAGGCACTGATTCTCAGTTCTGCGAATGGATTTGTATTTGGTCTGTAAATCGGGGAAAAAGAAAACATTCTGGTGCCTTCTATCGTGTTTGTGGAGTAAAACTTTGGGGTAGTCAATTTGGGACTCTTTTTCATGTCTCCTGTACTGGCCAGTAAACAAGCCAGGGGGATAGAAACTCTGAAAAAACAAAATTAGAGCTTGCCTTTTCCTCAAGAATGAGGTCGGCAAAGCTTAATACTGCTAATACAAACTGTGCAGCATCCAAGTGAAAAACTAAACCAACATTTTCATGTATTGTACCTCAGGACTTATTTTGGGAGGAAGGGATTGGTGCTAAACTGAAACGAACAGAAACCCAGTGAAAAACTAGACCAAAGTTTTCATACTCTGTCCCGCAAATTAATTGTTGGTCAAAGCCAAATGTGTGGGGGGTAAGGTAGGAGGTAGATACATCGACCCTTTGTAGCTTCTCCAGATTTTCAGATAAAAAGTTGTTTTCAGATCAATTTTCTTCTTTTTTTCCCGTGTGGGATTTGAAGGTGACGTCTCAAGATGATGATCCTCCGAGCTGGAATGCCATCATTTATGCTGTTTTAGTATAGCTGTGTCCTAAATTTCTGGTGATTGTCATAGATTTCAATCTTGGCCTTATAAATTGGATTCAAAGTACAGTCCTTTTCCGGGTAGAAGAGGATACGATTGAATTCCATAATGAAGTGTAGGACCAAATGGACCATTCCTGCATGGCTGCTGCCTAGATGCTGATAGTGGTTGAAAGGAAAAAAAAAAATCAAATGGTGATTGGGGTTCATGGAGGATCGTGATGATGATGTTAATTTTGATTGATTTTGATGAGTTGTTTCGCGTTTGATTTCCACCAGAAGGCATGATTCTACTTCTAAACATGGTGCATTGATTGTAGTTATCCTAATTGATGGTTCTCTGTCATTCTAAGGAAATTGGTACTCTAGATCAAATTTCTTGCTTCATCATAGTATAACTCCAAATATTTGTTGAGAGAGTTTTGTTTCTACAATACAGTATTATAAATTATCGCACTTTAACTAATCTCTATACGATGTTGATGGCTTTCGGGTCCCCTTATGAGGAAAAAGTCTCCCAACAACATTAGTATTTAGTAGAGCTTTAAAAACCTATGATTTCAAGATGTGGTAAAAAACCAGCAAATTAAACCATATTGCTTTTGAATTTTGATCATTGCGGATGCATGATTTTCCGTGTGGAGAATGCCAAACCCGAAACTCATATGTTAGCTGATGAATCTGTTACAGAGAGCCCTGCTCTCAGTCATAGAATGAGTGAATGGAAATTAGGAAACAATTAATCAGGTATTTAGGACATTTGTCTACCACCCAATGATCAATCATTACCATTAAATATCTCTCCATTCATCTTCTATTTTCCCCCAAACCGGCGTTCTGCACAACAGGCAAAAGTGTATAGAATTGGCAAAAAGAAGAATCACTTTGTTCTGGTTTCTGTTTCTTCTTTTCCATACACCCAACAAGAAGAATCATTTCCATTTTTGCAAGATGCGAGCGTTAGGTAGAATAAGCAAACTCGCAAGCTTTTCTTGATTGTGATTTTATCCTTGAATGGCAAATTTGGCAGCTAATTGCAATTGTCCGGTTTTGGACACAATCCCAGAAATGTGATTGGAAACCCGGTTGGTTTTTCTTAGATTTTAATGATAGTTTTAAGAAACGTTGGTCACGTAGATTATGAAGCACCATACATTACAGCTGTGATGAAATTTTTCTGTTACGCTGTTGGGTCTGGTCGGTGATCACAGACAATCCCATGCAACAAAATTGCATAATTGCTGTGGTCCGTCCAATTCCAAGAAGAACCAAATCCCCAATCTTGATATCTTCTTCAATTGAGTTGTTTTTGTGGGCAAGATTAGAGTGCAATCAAAGCTTCTGGTTCAATTATGTTAGTTATATGAATTATGATGAATTTCGGTGTCATGTTCTATGGACTATATTAACTTTGTCCTTTTTAGTTTAGTGAGAATTTCGGCGTCAAAATTTTTTATCAGTGTTAGTGAAACAAAAATCGAGTTTGAACAGTTGAGGTTTTTACAATAGGACAGTATCGAATATTGATTAGTGTTTTGTTTTTGTTTATTAGGCTCAAAGTCGAGAATTTAAATCTCGTCAATAGCAACAGTAAAAATATAGTAACAAAAAGGAGGAGGGTTGGAGGTCTAGCTAGGTGTGCCAGCTGCGAAAATAGACGAGGAAATGTGCCAAAACATAGCTTTTCCTCAAACATCATTAATATTAGTTGTCTTTCCATTCCTTCAATAATTCAATAAGAAAATCATTGTCACCTATCAAACTCGGCAGCAGTTTTTTGAAGTTCTAAAAATCCCAAGGGAGTGGTGGGAAATTGCGCAGTGTCCCACGATTTCAAATCAATATAAAGGTTGAAATCTGGTCGCTGTCCATCAAATAGAGCATTAAGGCAATCCATTTTAATTGTTAAAAGGTTTTAGGCAAACCAGAATTTCAGTCTTACTACCAAAAATGATTTTTTTTTTCTCTGGTTTGTTGCATTGCAAAGCCGAGGACAATCATTTGAGAATGGAAGGAACTAGTACTACGGTACTACGTTCTGTCTTCCATACTGTTACAAGGACCATTCCACCGTATATAAACGAGAAAAGAGGAGGGAGGAAAAAAAATGAAACAGGAATTTGTGGATATTTTTTCCAAATCGTGCAAAAGGGCAACTTAATTGAATTCTCATTTATAACGGGGTGCAGGCTGTGTTTTTTACATGTATATATATGTGACAATCATGCATGGGCAACTGAATGCAAGTGGTGAAAAACAGTAAAGAACAAACAGTGCAGAATAAACCAAATAAAGAGGGCCGGGCCGGGGGGTAGTAGCTCCATTTCCTGTTACTGTTGCCCTTGCCCGCATGTAAAAAATGTACGTAATTACAGTAATGCATGTGTGGGATGGATCTAAAACCCAAAAAAGTACAGTTTTTTTGGGGCATTGTTGCATCTTACTGATTTGCTTCACATGCACCCTGTGACCCTTTTCTGTGGACCTGTTTCGGTACAAATTCCAGTCCCCCCCTGACTGACTTCCTCTTGTATTAGTGAGATATGGCTTTATGGTCATTGCTCCCCCCCCCCCTCCCCAAGGGAACCCGTTAGTAGGTGATTTTTTTTGTCCCATGTCGTAGTAACATGCAAAACTCCGTGAGAAAAAATTCGAACAACTCCCTTCAAGAAAGGTAATTAACTAGTGCCCTAATCTCGCCTTTGGATCGAATCATTGATATATGTTTGTCGCTTATCCGATGAGTTTGTACGGTATATGTATCTGTATCGACTATTATCATCACATTTGTTATTGACGAATAATGAAACGTTAAGCACTTAAATAATCAGAATCGCTCTTTTACTTCATTTTGTACTAATAAATTATTACTATCTCATTGAATTGGAATATTACAATGGGATAGGAAAGAATATGAAATGTTGGCATCATTTTCTATCATAACTCTTATTTTTCAGGTTTCTAGAAGGTTTGTCATGAGAATTGGGAACAGCCATAGGTGAAAATTGAATTTTGGAAGAAGCCAAGATATATATTTGTTTAATAATAATAATACTAGTATCATTTCATCTTTCCTCCCCATATCTCCCTCTCTGCGTACAAAGCTAATACGGACTGATGATAGGATGAGTTGGCTTTGGTGGTAGTTGGTAGGGCAAAATTGTTGGCTCCCATACTTGACGGATTCCTATACGTAATGCAGCTCTGGTTCTTGAGCCAAAACAATCCCAAAGCCGCGACTCCCTTCTCTCTTCATTACATTTCTTTGTTTTGTCGTTACCCCCGTCCATATTTCCATGTCTCCATAACAGCTTATGTTTCTTTGACATTTATTTTCAAAAGGGATTGAATTCAGTATTTCATGAATTCCTTGGAGACACGATCTATATCCATTAGAGCCTTGTAGGCTCATATGAGATTAAAGATTCGATTATTACTAATTGAAGAAGTGCATAACTTTGAAGAAATTAAACACCAAATTGTTGACTTCCATCGATCTGATTAAGTACAAATCTCAAAACTTAATTTGAACTATTTTAAGAGGACGGATGGAGTATTATTTTCCTCTTTTTTTTTGAGAAATAAAAATAAATTCATTAATTTGTTAGAAATCGTCTAACAGGGATTGATAAATGCAAGATACAGTCATAACAACACAACTTACAATCGAGACATGTTAATACGATACACAATCGATTTTGATAATGTTGAGATCTAAAGAAGTATAAAACACTCAAATAACAATCGGATGTTTGGATGACGAGACAAACTAAGATTAAGCCCTTAGAATTGTTATTTTGTTATCATGTTCTTAAGAAACGGGTGGTAGTTTAGGGAGGATTAAATTAATGCAAAAAGAAACGACAAAACTCCGCACGACATGAAAGTCCAATGACATCTTCAAAGCAGACAGACTCTGGTTTGGCAACCATACTTACAAAATCTATTTATACTCCCTCTCATCTCAAAATCCCTTTTCCTTTTTTATTTTTGGTTAACATCTCAAAAATTCGGTAACCAACACATAGATAGGCTAGCTGTCAACAAGAGTCTCTCATCTCATCATCGCGATTTTTTTCTACTCATTTTATCAGTATTTAACATATTGATATAACAAATAGTCAAATACAGTTCTTATTTTGGAACGAATGAAATATTACTCAAATTTTGTGTATTCGTATCAACATACAACTAGCAAAATGAAGATAAAAGTAGAAAGCATGGTGAGAAGTGAGAACCCATCCAAATGGCATGGCGAAAGGAGATAAATACTCCCACTTTAAAATTATTTGGATGTAGATCTCATGAAAGGATTTTGAAGAAACTTTACTCTTTTTTTGACAAAAAAATGAAAGGAAAAAAAAAAAGAAAAACAAATACAGTTGTACAAGATTATGAATATTTATTTCAACAATAAGTTTGGCACTTCCTCGATCCCCCTTTTGTTTTTTTCCCACTGCTCTGCCCATCACCTTATATATATTACACACACTTCATTATCTCATCGTATTGTTGTGATGTACTCCCTCCGTCCCATAATTATTGTCAAATTTTACTAAAATAAAAAATTTTATTTTTGGTCAAACTTAACTATATTTTACCTTAAACAATCGGATATACCCCTACATAAGTAATTGTTTAACCACTAAGATTTTATGGATAATGTTTTTTACTAAGGACAAATGTGTACCTTGATCCATAAAAAATCGAATTGGACAATAATTTTAGGACAAAATTTTTTAGGCAAAGTGGACAATAATTATGGAACGGAGGGAGTAGTAGTATTATATTTTGCAGCCGTTTAAAAATGCCAAAAATTTTAATCATTGTGAAGAAATAGATTTATTTAGTTGAAGGTTGTCCGGATAATGTGAGACAATGGGGTCAAATAATGAATCCCCTTTTTACAGGTTTTGTTCCAATTCAATTAGATAAGTCTAGACTTTTCTTAGTTCGCACAAGAATAATTAGATTGGAATCCTACCTAAACAGTTATTTCTTATTCATTTCATCAAATAATATACGCTTTTCTATACTTATTCTAAAGGCACTTCACGTACGTGTCTCGATCATGAATGTATATAAACTAAAACCTAGTACATTAGTTGGCAATTTTATTTTAATTTATCATCTAAACTAAGAAAGTGGATAGAATTATAGGCGCTCATCACATGTCAAACTTGGTGATTATTACGAAGGCAAGTGTATCCTACTATCAACATCGATCATTTCTTCAATTATTTTCAGTCTTACTCCCTCTGTCCTAAAATTTTTATACAATTTATATTTTCAGTTTTTGTGATTTTAATAAAATTATAAATATAAATTAGACAATAATTTTGGGACATAAATAGTACTATTCTATTTTTTCGATGAATGCATGTCATTTTCTATATAGAAACGAAGTGATATTGTTACATTCATCCTAAGTTTGGTTACATAAGGTGATTTGTTGATGTACAAAAAGAGCAAAGGAAGCTCATTTCCGCTGATTATCCGGATAAGAAACATTTACTTGAGCTAGAATTATACTAAGAAATTAGCGCAATTTGTAGCCTTGGAACTCTGCTTTTGACGAGATTACAAAGTGTTTGAATGAAAACTGGAAACTAATTCCACTATTTGTTCCCTTCATCCATCAGCAATAACAATCAGAATTTAAAGAAACAAGAAATTAACTAATTCCCAATTGCAAATTGGTTCTCCCCCCTTTCCACTTCAGCTCCTCCTGAAGAACTTAAAAAAAAAAAACAAATGGAGGAGGAAGATAAACAACACCTCTTTTTTTCCCCTTTTTTTTGTCATTTTTTTTAGAGTGAAAAAGAGATCAAATTAACTTTTTGCATGTTTTTTTGCCCACCTATTCACCACCTACTATTACATCTACAGCATCATCATATGCTATAATCTGCAGAGCAAACTGCTGAATGAATGTTATTGCATGGTCACTGCTGCCACGTTCTGCTTCCTGCAAACCATCTGTATAGTAAGAAAAAAAAAAGAAATTATTAATAACCCATTTAAATAGTACAAAAATTTGCTAGATTTCGATATGAATGGGAATGGGGTAGAAGAAACTCAACTGATTTTGTTGCTGGTAGTTTCCCGATAAAGAAGGATACTGGACAAAACCATATTGGCTCTGGTGATAATAATGGTATGCAGAGCTTCCCTGGGGACCAAAACAAAAATTACGCATTGTTAATATCGAACCCGGATGAAATAAATTTTTAGTAGTAATCTTATAGAAACTGATGCAGTCTGAATTAGGGGGGAAAAAAAAGGAATACCTCAAATTGAGTGGTGGAATAGCCCTTTGAAACATCTAAAAGTGCCTCAGCTGAAGCATGATGATTGTTTTTGGATAGTCTGGAATTGTTCTGTGACAAAACCGGCAATGGAACAGCAACATTAACATAAAGCTGTAATAAAACACACACACAGACACACAATTAATACAGAAGAACGGTTTATTGGAAAAAGGAACTTACATTGGGAAAGTTGAAAACAGGGGAACTGGCAGTATCATCAAGCAGAGACGACTTTTCATGGAGATTTCTTCGCTTATTTTCTCTCAACCCCTGTTTTTTGGCCCTGTTTTTAGTACTATTCAATCTAGCCGCATCAACGGATTCATGATGAAAACACTTATAAGTATCGTCATTTCCATAGTAACTTTCTTCTTCAGGAACATGTGGAGGTCCAGAAGATGCATCCGAAACCATGGACATATCTTCCTCTTCCTCCTCCTCTGTTCTTCGTTCACATTTCCCTTTACCCAAGAACCCATCTTTATGATTATTATCCAATGCAGAAACAAAAGACTTGTCATCTAAATACAGAGTCCATCCAGACTCACAACCACTACTACACTCAGAATCATTACCCATACAATAATACTCCATTTTTTCTTTGCAGAATGAAAATCAGAGAAAGAAGAATAGGAGAGGAAAATGAATTGGTGAAGGGAAGCGGATAAATACTAGTAAGAAGGAAATGAATGGGGAGAGAGGTGAATGTGGCTTCGCTCTTAATTAGTGCTGACCAAGTAGGATAGAGAGGAAGGTGGTGGGGAGGGTGTAAAAAATGGGAGAATGGGGAAAAAAACCAAAAGCGAATCAAGCTCAAGTCTTAGACGTGTTTTGTCCTGACGTACCCAGTTCTTGGTCTCTTTTAGAATGAAATCAAAAATCTGCTAGTTGTGGGAGGGTTTGGGTTTTGTGCTGTGGGCAATGTTTATATGTAATGTAATATTCCACTCTCCTAAATCTTTTCTTCCATGTAAGATAGATTGTTTAGCAGCAAAGTAATAATAATAATGATAATATACTCTGTTTTCTTTTTTTTTTTTATATCAAATAATACTTTGTTTTTTTTTTTTTCATATTTACAGGTGTCCACAGTCGTCAACAGTGACTAATCTCCTCGCTAAATTGTAGGCACTTCAATGGGTGGATTAACTGGCCAAAGTATTCAAGGTTTATGCCCATGGTGAGATTCGAATCCTCGACCTATGGTTAAGGGTGGAGGAGTCTCTTCCGCTCTACCACAGTCACTTTGGTTTAATACCCTGTTTTCTAGTTGCAAAGAAAGAGAGAGAGAGAAGGGAACGAATTGAATTTGGGAGAATTGATAGAGAGGAGAATTGAATGGGAAACGGAACCACAACGCCTTCACATGCTGGACAGCGAGGCAAGAGTGTACTCTTCTTTTACTAAAACAGGGGTACACGTCCATCTTCTTCCTTCCTCAGTATATGGACACCTATCCATTCCCCTCCTCTTGACTCGGCAATTTGCAAATTGTCTCCTCTTCCCTATCGAAAAAATACATTGTACGGTGTCTGTATCACGTAATATGGTATAACTTTGTTATGTCTAAAGAAATCGATATATTTTTATTTAACTGCGATTATCTGTATTCATTTTTATTGATTGGAAGTTCTGTCTCAATAATAATCCGTAAGAATGCAAAACTAATGACGTGAAAATATGAGATGGAAGAATCGATTTAATAATACTCATTTTCTACCCGTTGCTCTTATCCCTTATCTAAAGCTTCCCTTCACAAGGGACAATTTGACAACAACCTCAAAGGTTGCCTTTGTTTTTCTTGCCACTTATTACCACCAAATTTACCTTGCCTTTCCTACAAAAGGGTCGGGGTGCGAAGAATGTCCCCCCGAAAGCATGTTAATACATTTATGGTAGTAACATGCCTAGCTATATGAAGGTTCAGCTGTGATATTTTTACGTAGTCCTGGATTACATTTATTTTTTACCATTACAAGACATATCAATGAGGCTATTTGAAGAAAATAAAGCCCGATGGGTTATTATTGTTTTTTTTTTTCCCTATCTTTTTGAGAATGTAAATTTCTAAGGGTCTTCAAGGAGACCCTTCGTTTTGCCGGCTTAGCTACATTCGGTGGTTTCGTGAGAGATTGCTCTGAGATTAATATTGATTTTCTGGCATTGAAACTTAATATTGGGGTCTATATCCGAAACTGATCACCTCTTAAGATTCAAATACGCGATAATTTGAAGTAAGAGATGCTAAACAAATTCATCATTGGGGTGATTTTGGAGTAGCAGAGACCTACAAGAGTACATGATGACATTTACATGATAATTAGGGTCCGCAAAAACAGGCAATCACTTAAACTTCTATTTCAAAGAGAAGTGGATACTGTAGCAGATTATTTGATTGCATTAGCAAAGCTAATTCATAGGAGTCCTTGCAGCTCAAATTCCATCATCATGGATTAGATTTTGGTGAGTTAGTGACACTGTAATGGTACGTAGTGTATTATGGTAATTTTGGGGTCTTTGTTTTATTTATTTATTTCTATTTTTAAGGAGTTTAAAACCAAAATGTATTAGCTCAGTGGTCACTTTTAGAGGAAAGTGAGAGTTGGAGTTCATAATGTTTGAGGTTGTATAAATTGGCACTACAAACAAAAATATGGAACCACCAAGACACAAGGGGGACCAATTTTTTTAAAAAAAATTTGGGACCAAATTATTAGTTATATATATTGGATCCGTAAGATGCCAGCTTTGCTACAATTTCCATCTCCTCTTCTCGTATTTAAATGGATTGATTATTTATTTATTTAACCCTATTTGGATAATCATGAAACCTAATAGTAATAAAATAGGAAAACAAGATGGTGGTCAAGATTCAAGAATATGTAGATTTACTTGGTCAACCAAGAAGGAAGCCTTTGACTGATATAGTGTTTGTTCAAAATCGTGGGACAGGCTTTTCACTATTTTATAACGCGCAGAAAAACTATTCAATTGAACGCAAGTGGCAAAGTAAGGAGGGAAAAATAAAAACCCTAACTTAAAAAATTAGAAGGGGGTTCACACCATTAAATTTAGATTTTGATTAATATATTTTTACAAAAAAAAAATGAAGAAATTTAGCTATAATAAATCTTCTCGCAATATCAATGACTGCATGATCGAGCCAAGCTTAATACAAGTGACAGCCTAATAATGAATGATGGATACATTGAAATTTTATCATTTAAATAACAGAAAAACAAAAAAATATATATGAAGTTGCTATTCCTTAGATTAAAAAATGAGGTACAACTTTGGGATATGGGTTGCTGAGGTAACATCCAACAAGTAATTTTTCAAAAATACACGAACCATATATACGTATGATTTTAATCACAGACATATATATACATGAAGAGTTGAACTAAGTTATCATTCGACTCGAGAGGAGCGGTATATGATAAACTTTCAGTGAGTCTAAATTGTCATAATACATCATTAGAACAAGCAGCTGATGATGCCGGTTTGCTTTAAGACAACAAAACAGATGGATCAGTTCCAGTCCACCACACTCAAAACTCAAAACACTTGAGTCTCTAATTATAAAACACAGATGGGACTAAGCAGCAGTGTTTGACTGAAACTCTGTGATACTACGTAAAATTTGAAGATAAACCACATGCTCTCTTTTAGTAGTTCCTCAAATTTCACGAACTCACACACACATGAATGCACGTGTGCATATGGCATTCTTCTTCCTTTTAGTTCTTAGTCTTAAGAGAGAGCTGCTTCCCTTACACACTGACTGGTTTTCACTCACACATGTATCCACGTGCGCACACACTTCCATCTTATTTTTTTTGCTTTTTTAGCCTCACTTGAAGAACTACTACTAATGTCTAAAAAAAAAAATTAATATATATAAACTCTCTGTCATCATGTGTGTGTTTTTTCGTGTTACTCATTCCAACCTGCCAGCAGTTCTTCCCTCTCAATATTCTTTCCATTATTATTTATTCCCCAAGGAATCCAATTTCTTATGGAACTGACCTCAGATCCTCCCCACGTCCCAACTCTATATATATATTCTAATAATTGGATCCTGTGGTTTATAAAAAGATATATCTTAGCTCCTCCTTTCCATAATCCAAAAGACATAACCTCCATCTTTGTTTGCGAAATGATCACATGAAGGACATTCATGGTGTAACTAATACCGCCTCTTTCCGAAGATTATTATTCAGTTTAGATTTTTACTTACAGTTCAAATTCTACTAAAAATAAAAATATAGATTAGACAATAATTTCAATACAAAAAGAATATATAACTAGTATACTGTGAAAAAAATTTGATGTTACTAGTATATTTGAACGAATGGCGAGTCAAACAATTCCCACTTGTAATAACAGGAATCCTAACTCTCATCTCTAGCAATGTTTACATGTGACGTGTTCCCGATTAATCATACCAGTATTCTCAATAAACCCTAATGGTATCATAAGCTAGACATTAGGATGGTGGGGGAAGAAGAAAAAAGATAAAAATCCCAACCTTTCGCACAAACAAAAAAGCAAAGAAAGAGACCGAAACACATGGAGGGTTTTGGAAAGGAGTGCAAATTAACACTCACACACTAGCTATATACACTAAATCACCAAATTGCTTGCATTATATTTTTTAAAATTAATTGCAGAGTTTTTCATTGATCTAAGAGAAGTTGTTAACCATGTTTTTTGGGGGTGGGTTTGTACTTTGTACAGAATCCCTTCATGATATTTATCGATCTGTAGAGTTTGTCCCACAACGGACTAGAGAGCTATAAAACTAACAAAATCCCATGTGTTAGTACGGTCGGTCATCAATTTCCACTGACCGGCAAGGGGCCGAAATCGAAATAAAATTTCTGGGATTTTGTGGCTTTGGTTTCTTCGTCCATCTCTCTGCTGCAGTCAAAACCATTAAAAATCTGCAGCATATTCTGCTCCTCACCTCTTGGATCACTCGTTATTCATGGCCCCGAATTAATCCTCCTCATAACTATCCACGGATCATCTTATATAAAGGTGTAACGTATTATAACACTGGTACATGAAGCACTCCAAGAGATCGCATTCGCATGCATGATGCATCCAATGGTATAACAAAAATAATATCCGTTTCTCTCGAAATAATTATCCAGTTTGATCTTAGTATCGCTCTGTTACGATTCTCTAATGCAACCAATTGACCCCCATATTTCAACCCGCATTTCACACTATAGTATAGTTATAAACATAAAAAGAACAAAAAGTTTTTTGTGGTAAAAAAATTTCAGGAATCTCATGGGATGGGGAGGACGGAATAATAATGAAATTAATGAATCCCTTGATTACAAAATACAATAAAATAAGATAAACGAGTAGGAAACGAGTACATGCAAGTGGATTTTGAGGCGTTAAAAGGTGCATATGTCCTATCCCCAGCTCATATATGGGTCCATGATTTTGATATCATTGGAGGGTCTCATTGAACATGGGCCCATGTGGCCCAAATGGGGAAGGGGTGGGCTCATAGTACTGTTGTCTGCTCCATTCAATTTCTAGTTTTCACTCAAACTCCCATATTTGTTGAGGCAGTTCCAAATCATGGAGGTTTTGCATTAAATGTATAGGGAGATTTGGGTACCAGGTTCCCAGCCAATGTTAAAATAGAATGGTCCTATGGTATGGATTTGTACTAGACACCTCCACTATTTTTTCCCTACTGATGCATCTTTTCACAATTCAATTTCTTTTTAAATCTCTCTCGTTGTGTGATTTCTTATATGTCCCGTTGTATCTGTTATTAGCATAGAATAAGAGACACGTGACCAAATACTTATACAAATTACAAATCTGAAGTATGCAACCTTTACCACATCATGACGGAGTCGTGTTTAAATTTGGTCTGGTGGATTCCGATAGAGGACATCCAATGCTATTGTAGTTTCATCATCTATTACACCATGTCATTGACATTTCTTATACAGCTATATATATTGAAATGTCTTAGATCATCACTCTTCCAGGAAGATGTTGGGTTGTTACACCCTTTTTTATGTTATAACACGGAAAAATGCTACAGATTGCACTATATTATACCTAGTGAATTCAAACTCCCATCGAAACAGGTACATATACTCTCTCCAATTTTTTTTATATGTCTTTCTAGAGAATTCATCAAAACCAAGAAGACATTAATTCATTTAGTTAAAATATAAAAACATCCCTATTAATTGTCTACACAATTCATCACAAATCAATAGAAATTCATTATAAATATTATTTCATTTCCAATGCAAGGGAAACTTTGGTAAAAAGTTGTCAAATGTGACTCGATTTGTGAAAACGACCTATATTTAAAAAAATTCACCAAACCCTAAAACGACATATTTCAAAATGGAGGGAGTGATGTTTATTTAAACGATTCAAGTATTCAACCAACCATGTCATTTTTTATTTCATTTCAATTTTTGAGTGGACAAAGATCATTTGGGCTTTCGTTAGTTGGACAAAGCATTTTATGGATCTTCTAGCATAGGAATTGTCAGGATGGAAGGCCCAACAGGGTAACAAACAGAAATGAGGGTTGCTAAAAAGGAAAAGATGTATCATCTGGGCCAAATCAATTTTGTCCTGTCCGGATAATGGTCAGTCCTGATAATAATAATAATAATACTAAATGAATCATCTTCAGAAATAATAATACTAATGTAAATATTTTCATTTGTATGTGAAAAAAAAGGAGTTGGGCAGCTGTTGTGCAGTTGTGAATTTTGATGATAATATTGTTTGTCCGGTACTGGACGACATTCTGGATTACTTCACCAGGTTCTCACAATTGATTCGGGAACGGGAGAAATACAGCCATGGAAAAAATTGATCAAATTCCCCATCACGAAGCTAAGTTAGTAGATCAAAATGGCATGTCCCGAATCATCAGGGTACCAATAGTTCAAGAGCTCGCCCGCCGGGGGCTCGATTTCTTGCCGGAAAGGTTCATCAGAGTGTCGCCGGGAAATGAAATTGCAACACCTTCAGCTCACGATTCCGGCGAAGCTTGTCATCCTATTCCAATAATAGACATGATTAAGCTTCGATCTGAAGGGGAAGAGCTATCCAAGTTAGCACGGGCTTCAAAAGAGTGCGGAATGTTTTTGGTCAAAAACCATGGAATTCAATCAGAAGTGTTGAGTGGGGTAAGGACAGCGGTGAAGGGGTTTTTCGGATTGTCGTTTGAAGAAAAGAGAGCCAGTGTTGGATCTTATTCGAGTACGGATAATGTGGGATATGGTCGGAACTTCGTAAAATCAGAAGATCAACGTTTGGATTGGATCGATCGTTTGACAATGAAAGCTGCTCCGAAGGATGCAACTCTCGGCCTCCGGGTCTGGCCTCAAAATCCACCAAACTTCAGGTATCCCCAAACCGAATTTCTTCATTTCTTGTACTCCTTCTTAAGATGTGCCATGAGAGATTCATAAAAAAATAATTCCTCTGTCCCGGAAATATTCCCAGGAATTATTGTCCAGTTTAGATTTTCATTTTCCGTACAAATTAAACTGAAATTGAAAGTACGAAAGATAATAATTTTGGGAGTGAACGAGTATAACCCATGTCCCTTGTTTCGCAATTGTGATTGTTATATAGGGAAGCTATTGAGAAGTATGTTGAGTGTGCGAGGAAAATTTGCGATGAATTACTTGAAGCACTTGGTGAATCCTTAACACCGCCAGAAAAGAACGTTTTCCTGAAATATTTCGAAGAGGAAAGGAGTGAAATCAATGCCCGAGTGAATTACTACCCGCCATGCCCAAGGCCTGATCTAGCAATGGGCATAAACCAGCACACGGATGCAAGTGCCCTCACAGTTCTGATTCAGTTTGAGAATTCTGGAGGACTCCAGGTATTCAAAGAGGATGAAATGAAATGGTTTAGAGTTGAATGGCCTGTTGATGATGGGGAGGAATTATTGTTGCTTGTAAATTTTGGAGATTTAATGGAGATCATGAGCAATGGCTGCTTCAAGAGCTCTTGGCATCGTGCTGTTACGCAGAAGGATGTTGAGCGATTTTCAGTGGCCTTGTTCTATAATCCTCCGGCGGAAACTGAGATTGAGCCTATTGAATCGAAGCAAATCGATGGTGTTTCTTATAAGAAAGTTGTGGTGGGTGACTATATCAAGCATTTCTATGATGTCAACCCCACTGATACAAAAGAGGCCATTAAGTTTGCTCTGTTGTAGAGGGAAATAGGTTCTGCATGTAAGGAGTATTCATTTAAGTAAAAGCGAGCATGAGAAATAAGAATTGGTTAATGTTGCCGTGTTATGTGTATTTTCTTTTTTCTGGATTCTCCATAATCATTGATGAAATAAGGTTGGTCAATAATGATTGTAGAAACTAGAAAGTGCAATTTGTTGATTCAAATAGTGTATTTGCGATAGCACTGATTGGTAGAATACATTTGATTGTGGAGATACAATCCCCAAAATAGATTTGCTTCTCGTCGAACATCTTAAGGTCATGAGCAACTATTTTCCAGATAACATATACTCCCTCTGTCCATAATTATTGTCCAGTTTAAGTTTTTCATTTTCAGTTTAATTTGTACTAAAAGTGAAATTTCAGACTGGACAATAATTTTGAGACAGATGGAATATTACGATTTACGAGTTACAAAACACACAACAATGAAGCAAAGTGATACAATAAATCAAAGAATATTTTTGAATTTCTTCTTTTAGTTGTCTCCTGTTATGAATTAGCCCAATAAAAAAGTTTGGACGCAACCTGAAAGAAGAGAATTGGGGGGAGAGAGACGATATTACACAGAAGGAGAGAGATCAGAGAGAAGAACGGATAGAAATGGAAGAAGTAATCAAGATCAATGTCATTAACCGAATGAATACCTTATTCTATTACAGTGGCGATTATATGAACAGTGACAGTTATAAGGAAAAAAGAAAAGGAAAAATGATAAGGAATGATGTGTCAAAATCTTAATTATAATTTAACCTTAAATGCATAAACCCTATTTGGAAAGTTTTAAGAATTAATGGATGAGATCATTTTCTTGTAATTTTTTCTTGTACTAATCATTACTCCGATTATGTACCTATAATCTGGAAGAATAAACAGCGACGTTTGACAATTAATGGGCTATTAGCTAACATCTCCCTATAAACTGATCTAAATGGCCCATATTCACTTGTGAGATAAAACCTAGGGCCAACAACAGTCAAGTGCATATGGGGCTAGTTTAAGAAGGCAGCAAGAAGAAAAACCTGGAGATTGTATCATTTTGGAAGCTGAATTATGGAGGGCCTTTTTTCGGTTTATAAATAGGTTGGTGAATGGTTTTCAGGGAATTTCAATTCGACATGTAAAGCCTGGACCCTGGAGGCCATAAATTTGCTAAATGAGTAGGAAACCACAAGTCTTGTGATGCATGTTTGTAGTACAATTAAAAACTTGTTGAATCAACAATGGGTAGTGGAATTCAAACATATAATAATACGTAAAGCAAATGAATCAACCGATTCACTAGCTAAGTTCAGGTTTTCTTATAAGATGAAGTAACATGGAGTATTTCCTTAACCGAAAAAGAAAGTAATAACATGTATTTCCCGTTTAAGGTCTCGAATTCTCTGCTAAATATTTGTTTATACATTTTTCGTCCCTCCATTGTATAAATCCTAGCTCCCCTGCTGTTCTTCCGGCCGGCTTCCCTGCATCAATACGTTATGAAAGGGTTAATATCCGTAATTCCTCTTTCACTTATGTAATATCTCAATGTGTATCGGATTTTTGTTGTAAAAGAACGAGTGTATTGGTTTTGAATGAAAACTGAAAAGTACTGTATGTAGTTTGTAGTACACGTGACATTCTGCCCATGGTGGGAACAGATTGTTTGTTACTTTGTTTAAGCTCAGAGTGCATCTAATGCATTATCTATCTGGTTGGTAGGAATTTAATACCACTTCTTGTGTGTTTTTCAATCATTGAATTGAATCTAATGTTGGTTATTGTTTTCTTGTCTTGTTTTAAATGATCTTCTTTTCAATTAGGACTACATTTTTTTCTCACAATAATTATGATAGTGACGTAAGACGTTTTACATCACAAAAAGAAACAATGTATGCGTGTGACCTCACCATGTAAAGAAAGTAAAGAAACCACGTCCTTAAACATTTCTAATTAAAATCGTCGTCTTAAACTTTTGGAAGGTTGAATTTTGGGGAAATCTTGTTGGTTTAGACTTTCAACATGCTCCTAATTAGCTTATCTGGTCGGGTTTTATAAGATCATTATTCTCAGGTTTTACTGTTTGTTTAGGTCCCCCACTTTCAAAGTTGTTATTCTAGGTCCACCATCCAATAAGTATGCGATTTTAGTGTTTTATTATTCTAACAACCATATAATTCTTTCTTTCAGAATATTGTACTCTCTCGTATTTATTATAAGCCATTTTGATTTATTATACTCCATCCGATCTTTATTATACGACATTTTGACTTTTCCAACGTTTCACTTAGTACACATTTTTAATTGACAAAAAAATCGTTAAAACATTTCAGACCAATCAAGAGAACACAACAAATGTGAAAATATATATTTAAGATTTTTTTGTCAATAAAAAATGCATATTAGGTGAAACCTTTGACAAATCAAAATACCTTATATTAAGGACTGGAGGGAATATATTTCACCTAGTATATTTTTCTAATTGAGAAAAAATCTTAAAAATATTTCCTAATAATTAGAAAAATAAAATGATGTAATTTTAAAGTTTTATTTCAATAGAAAAAAAACCATACTAGATAAAATTTATGACAAATTAAAATACCTTATAATGAGGACTGAAGGGAGTATGTACCTTGTTCGATAAATTAAATGTTCATTACCAATCAATTTGAACATTATCAAACCTATTTCCGAAGCAGCATAATACTCCAACGTAACAGGATACTTAAAAGCTGAGAAAAACGTATTAATTTGTGCTTTAGCTAAAAGTAGTAGTATTTGACACCATAACCTTTGTGACCGTAAGTATCCATATAAGATTCCACACTGTGTGTGTGTGTGTGAGAGAGAGGAGGAGTGAGGACGAAAGAAAACAAATCCAATAGTTGGTGATTGGTACAATAACCTGCAGGAGTTTTTAATGCTGATTTGTCTCATCCATTATCTGTATTCTCTATTCTGTATTCATTCCAAGTTTCACAGAAAAAACTGAAAAGCGGAGCCAAAGCCAGCCAAAGTTTCAGAAAAAAAAAAAAAAAAACAGAGGACCCCTCCTGCTCTGTTTTGATTTGCTCTGTCATTTTTTCTACTATGATGTGTGTTAGGGATGTCAAAAATGTACGATAATGAAGTGAAAAAAAAAAAGGGTGTTAATAATACTCCTTTTTACTCCAAAATAAACTGTGGGGACTTTTGCCTATCCCAGGAAAGGGAAAAGAAAAAAAAAAAAAAAACCTGGACTTTGCAACTTGTTCAGTTGTTCTGTAGTCTGTACCCTTTCCATTCCATTTTTAGATTTTTCTGGTCCTGTTTCATCCCTCCATTTCTGCAGGACGATGAAGAAGATGCTTTTTATTCATGAATCATCAAGGTTTAGCCAGGTTGGCCCTTCAGGCACCAGCTGGAAATTTCCCTCATTGCCCATTTTTGACCAGTTTGTTATTCCAACTTACGCAATTATTTTGGCTTTCACGTCGCATTTTCCTTCTTACAAGGGATTTAAGGTTTAACTTCGAGCGACTCTGGTTTCGATACTGCGTAGACTAATTACATAGTCGTTTAAACGAGAAGATCGTCAACCGATATTGAAGAATGGAGCAACCATCATTTCAGTTGGATTGGATACGATGAAAGAGAGACTTAAGAGACATCTTAAATTCAGTCCAGTGTCACTGTGTCTGTAGCAGATTCGGAAGAGTATGAATATTTTTCGCCATTCTGATTGGGATGACATTTTGTGACCACTGAATGACGGAGAAGATCTCGAGATCTTTGCAAAGGGAAACAAAAAAAAAAAAACAAAATTTGTGGACACTGGCTTTAAAGTTGTGATTTTTGAAAGTGGTCACAGATTTTATTCATACTGTGACAGAAAACTATTACCATCCATTTTTTTTAGTGATTATGTTTCACTAATAAGTTTCATTTTCACCCCTTCCATGTGCTAAGTTGAACCGCCTCATGGTCCGAATACTCCAACATAATGTGGATGAAGCTCAGACCTTCGAAATCTATTTCTAAATCCCACTCAAAATAAAAATCATATTCGTTGAACTGAGATAGGAAGAGTACAATTACTTACATATGATGGATATCTCTCCATTTGATCCTGCTATTTTTATTACTCCCTCCGGTCCTTATTGTAAGATATTTTGGTTTCTTATAAGTATCATTTAGTACGTTTTTTTAAGTGAAAATAAAATCTTGAAAATATTTTATAACATTGGGAGAGCACAACAAATGTGAAATAAATTTTTTAAAGTTTTATGATCAATTCAAAGAATACACTAAATGAAATTATGGACAAATCAAATTCATTATATATATTAAAGGAAAGAAAGATAATCGACACGTATCGCTAATTGAAACCATCAAGTCTCACTTTCAACTTATTATTATTTTAGCTTTTAAAGTTCTATTTATGTGCTACTTAGTCTTCAAATTTATCGATTTTACATTTTCAAAGACGATTAATTTTGTCGAATCCCTAAAGTCCACTTGCCTATTAATAAGTCATAGGCATCTAGACATAATTTATGTATTTTTTAAATTTATTTTTTAATCCAAACATAACATTAGTTAATGGTGACAATTTTTATTATACAACTTTTCAAATTTTTTGTTGTAATATTTTTTACCAGATCTTACAAATATACATATCATAAATAATATCAATACCTCTCATTTTGATCTAAAATTAATTAATCAAAAAAATATTACGGTTTTAAGAAATATTAGTAACTACATTATCTAATTAATTCTTTTGAAAGATAAATTTTCAACATTAACAAACCCGCGCAAAGCGCAGGACACATACTAGTATTTTATAATAAGAATCGGAGGGAGTATTTTTAATGAGGAAATTCATGAATTGACGGGGGATAATTATTGTATTTACAAGGATGCCACTTTTGCTTGCCCTTATGGCCTTATTCAATACTCAAAATCTCCAAAGTGGTACGTATATATATTTGTCGTTGACCAGATTGGCCATTTGTGTTCTCTTGCATTCAAAGTGCAAAAAAGGTTCATGGGTCAGCTTGCCGGTCACAGGTGCTGGTAGACAAAGGGGTTAAAAGTTGAAACCGAAAAGAAGAGAAATTTTTTTGACCAAAAGTATAAAGGATCACAACATCATTAATCAGACTTCATTCACTAGCACATAATTGAATCAATCATATAGTATTTAGTATCCACATTTCATAATAACCACATGATTCTGTTGACAAGTCTTAAAAATTATTTATTACGCCTTCTCTTAAGGTTAAGATTGTCCCGATACTTATAAAACTACAATCATCTCCTTTAATCATTGAAAATTTCAAAATTAACCTAGTGATAGTTTAGAAGTTGAAATACTTTTCCAGTGCGGGAACATGAGCACAGTTTATGAGTTTTTTCCTTAATGAGATTCACCTAAATAAACCTAAAGACTAATGAGTGAGATTTTCAGACCACAAGTACACGAGTTTCACTTTTTTAAAAGAAAAAAATAATAAAAGTTTGACTATTATTTTAAAATGGAAAAAACGAATTTCTATATTTATCATAAACGATATTTCCTTTCTTGAAATTTTTATTCAATTTGAATTTTTGAATTTAATTCAATATGTATGAAGATGAAAATCCGAAAGTTTATAATAATTTTGGGACAAAAGAGTAAAAACATTAAACTTTGATTGTCTGATTCTGTTCATAAGCAAAACTGTAGAGGGCCATTTGGAGTGGAAATGACTCTTCTTTGGGAAGAAGGTTCCCCCTGTTTCCGTACAGTTCAGTCCTTCCCGGTGGGACGTGTGAGAGATTGAGATGAGATGTGACCACTGACATCATCATCCAAGATCGATGGACATGAAATCTTCTTCTTTACACCTGGACGCCTCTGATTGGCCAAATCCTTGCTGTCTTCCACGCAATTCCCCCGCAAATACTCCCCCACTCCGATTCCACATCATCAATGATTCACCCGCCCCTTTCGCGCCAATGTTTTCTCCCAATTTTCCCTCCACCTTCCTTTCTCCTATCATCTTTTTCATATTTTATCCTCCCATTTCCAAATTACTTCTTCCGGAAATAAGTATTTCTTCTGTTGTGCATATCAGATTTTCACTTTTAATTCAATTTTTAATAAAAATAAAAATTCAAATTTTATAATAAATTTCGAACGGGAGAAGTACTATTTACATTTTCAAAACATTTTTGAAATAATTATCAACAACAAGTTAGTCGTGTAAAACATCAATTACATTTGATTTTCACTATATAATACACAAAGAATTTTGTTGAAACATCTCTTAATTTTTTATTTTCCTTTAGATAGTCAAAAATGTCAAATAGAATCCAAAAGTTATAACTTGTACAAACCCATATTGAAAATCTTGTACTTGGCAAATGTGAGACTGTACTGCACTATAAATTGTAACAACGAACTTGTCACATTCGTAAAATCTCTCAAACCGAAAATATTTCTCACATTTAAAAATAATTTTCTAATTTGTATTTTTATTTTATTATAAATATACTAAAATTAAAATTTTTTAAACTGAATAATTATTTTGGAACAGTTTCATATAAGTAACACACAAGTAATTTCCCGTAAAATTAACTCCTACGCAATCCCTCTTCGTACCTTACGAATTTGTCCCCCGATTCAGAATATTATTACGATTAAGTCTATTTTCTCTTTCCCCTGTTGATGAAGGTTCTGTTTGTTTATTTTTTCCAATGATATTTTCAGAATAATATAACAATACTGTTAAATCTCAACATATTTTTTAATATTACACATTTTTCTATTTTCAATACGAAAAATAATTAAAAACACGTATTGACAAAATATCCAAACATGTCCAAAATAATTCTCTCCTTTGTTAATTAAATGTAAGTAGCAGAAGAGGAACGCTGTCCTATCTGTCACCTAGTAAAAACTAGGCACCAATGTCAACTCACAAAATCTTCCACAAATCTTAAAAGAGAAAAACGTGAACCACATTACAATAACCCAGATCAACTGTTCAGCTATGATAATGTCGGGAAATATCAATTCATGGAACATAAACAAAATGGAAAAAAAATAAAATATTATAATCTACTTTCCCTCCTAATGAAATAATTCATATTTATAATTTTTTTGAAGAAATTTAAGTGTTTATATAATATAATTTCGGAGATAATTAAAGCAAATGTATCTTTATGGATGGAGATGAGAGAGACTAGACAAGATGTGATGGATCTGATGAAAATACAAAACAGTTCAAACGCTACACTTTCCCGTACTCATTTTATCTGTCGGACACTTGGCGCTTCCCCAGGCCTCTTTCTTCGTTCTTCTTATTCGTGCATTTACAACTTATGCGGGAATTATACTTTCAGTCCTTAGGTTTTAAATTTATTATCAATTATGGCTCTCTCCACCTACTACCTTTAATTTTGTTTCTTGTGTTGTGACTGATCAAATCTAAGCACACGGCTTGTATCTCCAAATTCCAAGAACTAATTTGCAACACATTTTGTTACTTATTTAATCCCCTCTCAAATACAAAAGCACATTTTAACTATGACACGACTATTGAAATTTTGAAATGTTCATTGTTGCTAGCAGAGCACCGACCACTATTACTAAATTGCTTTCAACAATTTTAACTTGGGTCAACTTCCGATCAAACTAGGCCACATTTAACGAGCAAAAATGGTCTGTTTAAGCTAGCGTTAGTTCGGCTTTAATAATGGCATATATATTTCGTCATTTAAAAGCAACTTTCAAGATTATTTAGAACTTTACAAAATATATATTTTATTATATTCAATTTTGAGATTGAAAGAACAAAATAAAATCGTTCTTTAGACAAACCGACGACAAATCTAGATTTAGCAGTGATGGTCAAGGCTTCTATATTGAATACATTTAACTACAGAAATCATATGGTATTTACCATATTAAGTTTGGGAATAGAAAAAAAATAAAGTAAAATAAGAAGAAGAAAGATCATTATAAACAGAATGATATCTTTGTAATTTTACGAGGACCAAAGAGGGTAAAACTTTCAAGCATTACATGATTGGATTGCAAAATATAATTGAATCATCATGAGATCACATGCAAACTCAAAATGAATTAACTACCTAAGTCCCGATACGATTACCAAAATTATTGGCTAAAATATTCTTAATTAAATTATATAATAATTAGTTAATAAAAAAACATGATAATCACGAAATGACCACAACATTTTAAAAAATACCGAAAGTTACCACAAATTTCCTCTTGCCAATATGTACAATCCATTTGCAAAAAAATAAATGATAATAATCATAAGGAAATATTTCCAGTTTAATACTACTAATTTGCAAAAAGGTACTATAATAAATTCACCAATTTATATATATATATATATCAGGACAGAGCCGGTCTACCGTCGCAACCGCTTATATTCCGGCTCATGCAGTTCCCCGGCACCGCTGCCGCTTCCGTTCTCCGGTGCAGAACTGGGATTCTCAGAGCGGGTATCACAGCTGACACAAGCGGCGGAGTCAAGGACGCCGACTGGACTGGGCGGCGTAGATAGCAGCAGCTCAGTCTCCATCTCCACACATGACCTGGCTTTAAGGTCAGCAGAAGGGCACGTGTCAATCATGTACGCCTCCATTAGTTGATGACAGCTTCTCACCATTTCCTGTCCCCAAGAAATATACCCAAAAACAAAAACAAAAAAATAAGAACTTTTTTTTTTTAATTTTTTACTATCAGAGTTTCACAGCTTTCAATGACTAGGAATTCGCAGCACATACAAAAGTGTTTGGTTTTTTGATATAATTAGACTAATTAGTATTCAGAAAACAGAAAAACCACAATTATTAAACAGAGTAGGATTATTTACTTTATTGACTCTCTCGTAAAATGTGTCGGGTAATTCCACATTGTTCCCGGTGGCTAATATCACGGCAGCGGCGGCGATAACCGACGGCGGGAATCTCAAGAAGTCCACCACTGCGTGTGCATATGCAAATCAAGTGATCAATTAAACTAATGAATGCCTTCAAAGTATGACTTAAATGATGATCTTTAGTTAGATATACAATTAGGCATTTTGGTTAATGTATTTTTACCTCTGATGGTATTCATCACAAGGCTGGAAAAGGCAGAAGCAATGTGAATGGACTGATGAAAATATGGCAACTTGGAGACGAAATAATCCAGGAAATCAAAAGGGGTGACAGAACAGAGCTTCCAATCAAGACCCGCCATAACCAGAAGCTCCATCCTTTGAACAGTCCTGGGATCAAATACGTATGTGGGCTCCATGATCTGAAGGTCTAAAAGTAATGGTACAGTTGGTTCTTCCATTTTCGTAGCCAGCGATAAACATGCCACTGATAATAGTTGGTATGCCCAACCACTTCCCTGTTGGTACAATAACGTACATCTACATCATCATCATCCCATTAAATTAAAAATTAAGGTTGAAAATCGATTTCAGAGGAATCAAATTCACTTACTAATGAATCAGGAGTGGTTGGATGGGAGATGGCCGGAAGAGAGTAAGAAGACAGAAATCGGTCAAAGTAGTTAACGGAAAGCAGAGCCGTTACAGGATTGAAATGATAATGTGCATGGACCTGTCCAACATCAAAGGAAAAAAGTTCATAAACAGTATATTGAATTAACGTTAATTACAACTAGGAAAAGAACAAAAAAAAAAAAAAGAAATTGAAACGTATTGTGCCTTTATTTGGGTATTTTTTTCAATAATGTGTTGTAATGAAGAAGAACAGAGGAGGACCTTGAGCATCCAGTTAATGGAGTCTTGGCGGGAGGCGTTAAGGTGGGGACGGAGGGCGTCGTTTGGGTGGCGGATTTGGGTTCCTCCCTGTTGGGATTCCGATTCGAACAGATGGGTTATGATGGAAGCGTCGTAAGGTCCGGCGTTGGAAGAGATCCAGGCGTCGTCGGGGCCGGGGTGCGACGATTGCATAACTTCGTCGGAATCGTCATCATGGCCGTACAGGGCGGCACCACCTCCGGCTCCGGCAGCCGAATGCTCAGACATAATGGAAGTGGAGGAAGAAGAGGAGGAAGGCGGCGATCAGTGAATGCAGCATATCAACGCCGGCGATGCTGGCATAATTCCACCGGAAACAGGGTACTAAGTACTAACAGGTGTAGTAAAGTTGGAGGAGGCTTGGTTTGTGAACTGTGAAGTGAGAGGGTGAAAAGACACACATGGCGGATTATGGTTTGATAAGTAAAAGACAGGTTTGATTTGAGGCCAATTTCACTGTGTGACTGTGTGTGTGTGTGTGGGAGTGTCTTTATTTTTTGTTGTTTTTATTTCTTTCTGAGAGTGAAATAAATACTTTTGGTTGTGATAGTCAGACTTTTTTTTGTAGTGTTGTCCAGTGTAGTCTGTTTGTGGAAAGTGAAATATAGCTGAAATATTTTGCTTTTTAAATTTTAAAAAGAAAAAATGAAACGGGCGGGAGGAAGAAGGAACTGCAGATAATGGACCAATTGGACACGCAGGTAAAACTAAAAAAATTTTAAACCGAAATGTGGGTTGAAATATAATGCCAGCTGAGATTGATTTTAATTTGAACTTTGTTGTCGGATTCTCCACCTTTAGAAACACAGGAGAGATTTTGTATTCTTTTGTTTGGATGGATCGATCCTTCTGATAATCTGAATGTTACGTAAAAGGTTATTAACCGATGAGTATTATGGAATTGGAATTTTCTTCTCTTACCTGTATGCACCTAAGATCTTACAGGGCCATTACATTCAGTCCTGGTTTGGAAAGTTGAAGACTTCAAAAATTAGATAGACCCTAGCTATGCTTGACTTGAGAATTTAACGTTACAAATACATATTACACTGAGACTAATCTCTCGTTCAAACTAAACATATTACACTAACACATATTACACTCGATAATTTAATGTTTCTTTGCGTTACGCTTTACTATTTTTCCATTTAGGAACGCTTCATAGGTTTTGCTCCTTTCTTACTGAAGATGTTGAAGTCACATGTTAAATGAAGGGAATGTTAAGAAGGTGAAATTTTGTAAATGACCAGTTTTATGTCTGATGGGCAAGTGCATATATTACCAATTATAGGTTCTAAAAGTTTTTTTTGGCACAATCATAGATATGGAGTATACATTGGATTTTAGATTGAAGGGAAGTATTTACTAAGGCCATAAGGAAGAGAATAAAATTCTTCACTTCTGGGATCGTGACCAAAGCCCTTGTACTTTGCCCACCAGTGCCTCCCACTGTCTTTCCTGCTGTTCTTCCTCGCCAGCGTCAAATCCAAAAACAAGGCCACAATCCCTGCTACCGTCGCCGGCGATGTGAATATCACCAGCATCAATTTGTTAAACTGCAAACACACACCAAGAACAAGAATTGTATGGTGAAGCCTTCTTTCTTCGTCGATAGGTGTGGATGTCCATGGATAATAATTTGTGATACGATATGAAGTTAACTCGAAAAATAACACGCTTATAGTAATGGACACGATATGACTGATATATTTGATAGGCTATGCAACTTAAATATGGCAATTGAGAACCCTAAAAACATACTCAATTCTTCTTGTTGAAACCTCCAAGTACATAATTTAACGACATTAAACTCGTAGATTAAAAAAATCGACCTAATTGGCGTGTAAAGACTAAGTATTATGAGAAGAAAAAAAAGTAGGGAATTTGAGTACAACGTACCCAGAGGGCTCTAGTATGAACAGGGCCATGACCTGTGGTAATAAGATAACCGTTGAAGTACTGTGGAACTGAAAGGCCCATGAAAATTGAGAAACCTAATATGAACTTGGTTCTGAAGCTATTGATGTTGCAGAACTGAAGCAGCCCAAGACCAGCAGTGGCTGCATCAAAATGCGTGATAATATAGAACAACAAATGAGTACTGACATACACAACACTCAACAAAATTGCTAATAACCAAATTGCAGCATCACTTAAACCATTTACATGCAATGGTTGATGATCATAGTAGCCACATATATAGAAAAGGTTTGAGATTACATACACATCAAAGCGAACAGGACGCAGTACAAGGCGCCGACAATTGGCAGAGGAATTGAAGCAAGAACTGCTCCAAATTTCCCTGTGGGCAGCAGCATTCAAGAGAAGTGTCATCATGAGTCCATTAAAGTTGATGTTTATATATGATTAATTCGTATTGCACAAATATTCATGCATGGCATCATACCGAATATAGAGAAGAAAAACATAAAAACTGTTGATATTTGGACAACCCTTCTGCTTCCAACGCGAGTCAGAGCCAGCAAACCGACGTTTTCACTACATATACCCACCCAAACATGATAAGATTTTGAGGTTGTATGGAAATGGTCTTAAGAGTCATACACAAATGTATTGGAAAGGAGACATTGTTCTTACACTGATACGGTGGATCCACTTGTTGTCCCCCATAATCCATCAAGCAAGATGCCTATTCCCTGATTGTCATTAAACAAAAATGTGTTAACCACATATATCTAATGCAGAAGTTGTAACAAAATTTTCCCTTTCTATTCAAGAGGATTGCTACCAGCCAGCCGATGCCACGGCTCAGAACAGAAGGCGGAGTGTGCGTCGCACTTCCAAATCTTGCTGCTGCAATGAATGCCCCTGTAGACTGGACATATAAGCGTGTTACATTTGATAAAACAGTGTCATGCTCTTATCCTAAATGGCATAAATTAAGGCCATGCTTTTACAGCAATTACATCTGAATAAGACACGGTTATAGTATACTAAATGGTTGAGACAGATTATCCTGTTTGCATTCTAGTTTCAAGCACCATTTATGAATTAAAGAATCGCAAATCAATGAAAGCAAGGACATTGGAACCTCAATCATAGAAACAAATGCAGCTGCCAACATGACAAATGCTTCTCCAGCTTGAAGATCTGGAGTTCCCCATTGCCATGGATATGGGAATCTGATCCTGCACAGATATTTAGACAAAAGATTCACAGATCAGAGAAGATTCAAGGGTTTGAAGATGCCGAAAATACACGAGATTAAAAGTATATGAACTTGCCATGAAGATCCACTAATGAGGCCAGAACGATCAACGCGGCAACTGAACTGAGTTTCGGGGGATCTATTTTTGTATGCACCTGCAACAGTCAGGAGGGCAGCATATGCCCAAACTAGTCCAACTGATAGAAGAACAGCGTATCGATCGAAACTTGGGAACCTCTTTGATTTGTATAAGTGAGGCGTATACTGCAAAGAAATGAATTAAGTGTGAACAGGCCAAATTATAGAAATAAGTGTGAACAAGCTAGGAACACAGAACTTACCTGAGATAACAGAACAAGGATAATCAATTCTGGAAGACCAATCTCCACACAATTTGCTAACTAAAAAGGTGATGAAGAATTAGTGAGCTGAAAATGGGGACCTTATAAAAAATTACACGGCCATCAAAACTTCCATGAAATCCAGAAAATCATTTTGCATGCGTTCTTACCAGAGGGAATCCATGTGCATAAAGACCGAGCCCAACTAGCGCAACCAAAGGAACTGCAGAAAGTGGACTAAGGAACCTGCATTTCAAGATTGATTAGGCCATTTGAGATTTCAGATGAAATCACAACAAACAGAGTTGATCAAATACCGGAATACCAAAAGTGGGATCACGAAGATATAGTACCTTACAACAATTCTCCAGACACCCAAAAAGCCAGCCAATATTGGAATTATGGACGAAATCATGACTGCCCCTTGAATCGCTCTCATTGTTTTGATAAATCTCTGCCCATTTTTTTATACATAAATTTTATAGAAACAAATTACAAAATGACAAAGGAAATTGAAAGGAAAATAAACAGAAATTATCCTGATGATCTTACCAGACGAGGATCCAAATATATGGTGTATCTGTAGGAATATGAGACAAAAAGGGCTGGAATTATGTATGTGAATGAACCTCGAATGACCACAGGAAGCCTGGTTCCAAACCAAGTCTGCAACAGAGTATTCACTCCCGAGACAAATAGCAGAGTTTGTATCACTTGAGCTTTTTCTACCTGCCCACAAAGATCAGCAGCGCAAGGTAAAAACAATCTGATGAAAGATAGAAAAAAAAAAAAATCAAAACTCCTCTCAATTAAGAAGTTGTTTAAGCCAATTCCTTACATATCCACCACCCATTTGAGGAACAATTAAGCTGGGGATGATTACTGTAGCCCCTAGCATTACCAAAAAGTGCTGAAACCCCAGAATTACGGCTTCCGCTGCATTTTCAGAGCAAATAAGTCAAAATCATGGATGATGATGAATTACAGTAGTGCAGATTCAAGTTCTATGAGATGATCAATTTCATAATGAAAAGCAAAAGAGGAAAGTAAGTAACAGACAGAAAAGAACTAGTCTTGAATTTTTACAGAGTGATCAAGCAAAGAAATGCCTCAGAACAGAAATAAAAAAGCTTCCTGAATTTGGCAAGTTGCCCAAGTAAAAAACACCCGGATAATTGAAAACTTGCAAAACGAAAATGTGAATTCAGGGAGCTCTGTTTGATTGTAGATTTCAATATTCAATAGCCCAATCAAGAAAAGGGAAAGATAAAGAAATACGTACGCCAAGAAGGGTTGCTGTTGATGCAAAAATCAACGCCGGGGAGCTGATCTTTCACCGGATGTGGCACCAAGTCATCACCTTTCGCCGCCATCTCCGACACTCAGAAGAATGTATCAGAGAAAAAAAATAAACTTGTAACCGTTTGAAACCCGCAACAATCTCTTACACTTGTCAAAATCCAAATTCCAAAACCTCAGTACTTTGACAACTTTAGAATCATGCAAAATGTGAAACTTGCATGTAATCCGCTTGCCAACAAAAAGCAACCTCCGCCTCCCACCTTAAAAATATATCATTCACAAAAAAAGAAAAAAAAAAAAAGGAACAATAAGAACAGCTACAGGTTATGTTACAAAAACCAAAAAGGTACGTAAATACTCCAGAAGCCTAATAATTGTCTGAGGAAGAAAGTGTTAAAACTAGGAAAGAACCGATTACTAATGGTGGAATGACTATGTGTATGGGGGTTAAGACAAGGCAGATTGGCAGGCAGCTGAGGTTGTGACTTTGCTTCTTGGAAGCCAACGACCCTTTGATATTTTTAATCACCATGGATACTAGTTTGTGCATAATAATATAACAGTTTAAATGCGTAATAATATTAAATCAACACCTAAAACCAAACGAGGGAAAATGTAACATACAGACGTTATGATAACCTTTTTTTAGGCCTCTTTTTTCCAGTGCTTAGGTAAATAAGTTGTGGGTTTGGTTTCTGACAAAACTAACTAACACTTTACTCGTTACATTTTTCGTTGTTCATCAAATTGTAACAATTTTGGAAAAATAGTTTCGTTTCACAAAAATTTACAGTGTTCGTGGATTAACAACCAGTTCATGATGTAGGAAAAACGGATGGGGTTTTTTTTTTTTAATCCTCTTTAACGTTCAATCTTAATTTCACACGGATCATACGTTAAAGTTGTCGTATATGTGTTGAAGATTCCAATCAATTTTGGTAGAATTTGAAACATACAATTGGTATAAGTTGAGTGTTCAATTATGGTAAAATAGGTAAAGAGTTTGGTATGCGTTTCGTGCTGAACTAAAAGGTTTGTTAAAAGTGAACCTCGGAGTGCTTGTCATTTTGTCAAGAGGTTATCGTTAAGTAGATTTTGTTTATTCATCATACTCAAATATTCTCATCTACTCTGTATGCAAAAATTAAGCTGTTCGCTTTCGTGTTGTCTTTCAAAGTCAAATTAATGAAACGTAGTAGTAGTATTATATTTCCTCCGGGGATTATCATATTAATTTGTTATGATAAAAAAAATTGTACATAAGCAGTGACTTCAACACATGAATAAGATTTTTCCAAAAAGAAAAAAAAAAACTCCCGAACAAGAGCTGTGAATGGTTCATGCTAAAACCTGTTAATTTTGTACTCCATCTATTCCAACATTATTGTCCAGTTTGATATTTCACTTCCACTTGGATAATAATTCGTACAGGAAAAAAATAACAAGGAAAAATGATAAGAAATTGATTATAACCATTCATTTTTAACACTTTTCATTTGGGGTTTAAGCATTTAAGATTAGGACGTAATTTAGATGATTGACAACTCATTCCTTGTAAGTTTTTCTTGTAAATTTTCCATGTATGTATCGTTACTCATTTCACTTTTAGTACAATTTGAACTAAAAATGAAAATTCAAACAGGACAATAATTATGGGACGGACGGAGTATTATTCTAATTTGTGAGGGGAGTGGATTAAGTTAGTTAATATCGTCAAGAGGACGTTGCACCAACCGGGAAAGTCATTCATACTTTAGCACGCAATCCCTGGACTTCTGATTGTTGTAACAATGATCTCTACATTATTACCTCTCTGCAATCTCATTTTTGTTCCTGCTTCCGAAATCTCAACCCAATTTCTTCGCTTCTCAACCCTGATGCACTTATTTTTTATCAATCGCGCTATGGCCCGACAAGGGATCAAAATGGTTTTGGACAGCCCTTTTTAACTTATTTGATTGGGTAGGATTGTGGATTGGGCTTAGTAATACTGACGATCGATGCGAATGTCTGTCCGAAATCCGAATATTCCAGGGGCGGCAGGATTTCCTAATACCATGGATTTGTTCTGTAACTTCTGTTGATGCACAAAATCACGAGCCAATCTTTAACATCATTTTGATCGAAACTCCAAAGTAGAATTTTATCCGTCCCAAAATTATTGTCCATTTTAAATTTTCATTTTTAGTTTAATTTATACTAAAAATTAAAATATAAATTTGAAAACAATTTCGAGACGAAGAGAATAATGAAGCATTTTCATATATATAAATTTTAGTCAAATTACAAAATTACATGTGTTTGTAGTTTCTACTTTATGTTGCACCTTTCTTGATTTACTTGTTGAAGTAATTTAAAGTTGATTTCTTTTAAATTTAGAAAAAATGTTTTCAATGATGTCATTCAATATTACTCCTACTATTGACTTTTTTTTAAAAAAAAAAAAAAAATCTTATCTGGCTATTCAGTCTGGATTTTGTTTTAATTACCACAATAAAGCTAGCTAATCTACATGTGCAGTCCTCCTCCGCCGACAGACAATACGTAATGCGTTACCACATGATAATAATAAAGGTAATGCGCTGTCTACAGTTCCTTATTTTCAAAGGAAAAAAGAAGAAGAAATAGTTACGTCAGGGAGCAGGAGCACAACACTAATTAAAACATTTTTGGAGTATCATTTTGTATTCGTAAGATGGATGGATTTGTTTGTTGTTTAAAAGTATCATTGCAAATTAAGCTTTCTTGATTCCATCATTTCTTTCTCGTAATTAACACCAATTCCAAGAGTAACTATCCATTTCAGTTGACGAAATAAAATAATGCTAGTACGACAGTATAAGTACAAAGTAAGAGTGTAAAATGGAAATGAGTAGGGTCTCGTTAAGCACCAATCAACGAATAAGAAAGTTTATTAGATTAGTTTTGTTTCTAATTCTCTTTGATTATGAGTTTGAATGTTCAATTATATGATTACTTCACAAAATAACGACAATTCTTCATCGGGCAGTCCAATTTTACTACTTTGCAATTTATTACCACTTGTAAAGAGTAACGAATTGTTGTTCATTCACGCCATCGTCCTTTCCCTTTCTAACAGAAACTGATTAACTCATAAGTTGGGCTTGAAATTGACATAAGGATTTGGGAAGCAGCGTATATAAATTCTATCCCGATTCCCGATCTTGGGTGTTATCAACTGAAAATTACCCGTAGCTCTATTTTACTATTTTCCAATTCATTTTGAGTAAATGAAGATCCATTATTGAAGAGTCACGTGTTTTATATTGAAACCGGGAGACATATTAATAATAAAGTTGAAACAAAAAACCATAATACTCCCCTCGTCGTATAGTACTAAAATTTAATCTACTTTATTGGATGTATAAGTTTAATTTTAACAAACGGACTTCTTTTTTTTTTAACAGATGAAGCATTGATTTTTGAAGTGATAATAAAACCAATAAATCTTATAAGTGACTGAAGGAAAACAAAAGGGGGTAAAAAAAGAAGAGACAAAACCATTTTTCCTCCAACCAATAGTGATACATATATATATATATATACATATATATATATATGCATATATATCACATATATATATATGCATATATATGCATATATATATACATATTTACAGGGTATCTACCGTCGGCAACAGTGACTAATTCCCTCGCTGAATTGTAGACACTTCGATGAGTAAGACAATTGGCTAAAGTATTTAAGGTTGCTTCATTCCACAATGCCAAAACTCAAAAGTGCCTAAAAATCTAACTGGATTGCAACTTGAACATTAACTACCTTTATTCCCAGCCGAGACCACATTTCAAAAGCTTCACGACGTTTATTTAGTAGTAATCCTTTACGTTGAAAAGGCGTGGTTGCCAAATGATTTTGAAGGTAGTTGATGGAGAACCTCAATTAATAATAAAAGCTATGATAGTATGAGAGAAAAAAGTGTTGCAATTTCATTACAAAAAATGTTTTTTTTTTGTTAAAGCTCATTAGAATTATCTAGATATCAACCTGTCTAGTCACAACCTCACAGGGATAAACCTACCAAACAATTCCAAAGTATCAAGAGGAGTGCTGTAAAGGGAGGGAATTGGGAAATTATTGAGGTGTAACAAGTTCGATTAAACTATATTTTTTGAGCGTAGTATAACGGAGAAAATATATTTATCGAGTAGTAGATTTAGAAAGATGAAGAGAGACACAAAATTTTTTAAATTTTTTTTTTGTTACACTCTCGATGTGATACTAATTAAATAATTACAAACAGTAAAACTCTAATAAAATTATATCAATATGAATAAGTGATCAAATACATGACAATTATTTGCTAGCTAGAGGGACTTGCAAGGGCGGGCACCATTCATTAGAATTGTTGTATTAACGGTATACTGGTAATTTATAAATTATAAAATAATGTTTGTAAATTGTGGCAGTGAAATTATTTTTTCAACCTTAACTTTTTTACATTCTTCACTTTGTCATTGATGATTTTTTAATTTCATTTATTTATAGATCCCAAAATATATATTCCTTCTGTTCGATCTGTTCCAACATTATGATCTAACTTAGATAATTTTTTTGATACAAATTATATTGTATTAAAAGTGAAATGTTAAACTGAACTTATTGAGGAATGGAGAAAGAATGTCTCATAATCTTGACCATGACAATGTGGTGAAATAAACGTAGTAAACGTGGAGCAGTTTCTTTGGTGTAACTATATGGCGAATATCGTCTTAAGGAATGCCTGCATCTTTTAAGATGTTGTTAGTAATGTGGCGGTTCGTGTCCGAGATGTTGAAAGCTATGTTAATAATATTTCTAAAGCTGACTTGGAGGGGAAGAAAGTATTAGGAACAAAGACGGGCTGAGAAACTAAACTAATCCAGCGTCTTCCTCCGTCAGTTGATTGGTACAAAGTTAATTCGGATGGTAGTTTTAACAATAAAAATGGTATGGCAAGTGCCGGAAGTGTTGTTAGAGATCGCTATGGACGTTGGATAGCCGGATTCACGATGAATATTGGTTTTTGTTTGATTACGGGGGCTGAATTATGGGACTTCCTACAAGGTCTAACTTTGGCTTGGGAGATTGGTTGCCGAAGGGTGATTGCAGAAGTAGACAATATGAGTACATTTCTATGGTTAAGAATGGGAAAGAAATATGGGGAATTAATGCCGGTATAGTTAATGGAGTCCGGGAGATGATGAGCCGTGATTGGATTGTGAAAATTAATCATGTGTTCCGAGAGCGAATTTTATTATTGATTATTTGGCATCTTTGGCATCACAAGGCCATGGCGGGTTACAATGGCTAGATGGACGTCCAATAGGAGTTAGGCCTTGGTTATATCATGGCTTAGTCGGGGTATCGTACCTTAGAAATGTATTAGCATAATCTCAGGCTTTTCGCCTCTTATATTATAACAAAAAAAAATTAACTTTTTTTTTTATAAAAATCTTTTAACTTAATAATTCCTCTGCGCCGAGATACGACCTACCTGTTTTGGGGCACATCTATAGTATTATACTAAGAGAGAAACCAGAGAGAGAAAACAAAAAAGAATTCTAAAGGTGCCACATATGATAAAATCATATGTGTCATTGTTCTAATGGTTGAGTCAAAAAATATTACAACAATTATACTAATAGTCCTTCAAATTTTATGTAAATAAAGTTTTATCAAATGGTATTTAAAACTATAGTTTAAAATAGGAAAATAAAAATTAATTAAATTTAATGGACGAGATTAATGAATATTAATGTACCAGAATTATTCCCTCCCTAAAAAAATCCCCAAAGTTACTATTGGACTCATTTAATTAATCTCTTTAAAAAAAAATCTCCCTCCCAATCATGTAAATCAATAGACTACAATTAAAAAAAAAAAACCAATCATTCAACATTAATGTTATCTTTAAAATCTTTTCCCAAAAACATGACCTTTTATTTTTCGCCAATAAAAAAGAAAAAAAGGTACAAAACTTGCCTTCAATTATTACTAAAAGGATGATTTAACTATAATTAAATGTTATCTTTTGAATTTCAAACCAATGCATTTATTTGTGTAATATCATATCTACCCAAATAAATATAATCTTTCCTTAATAATATCTCAAAAAATGTTATAAACTTTATCTTTATCACTGAAATTTTGGATGATCAATTATCATCAATCCCAATTTATCTCTATTTATACATGCCACACAAACCATGAGTACGTTCCACTGCTGCAAAAATTTCTTCCTCCCCAAAACAACCCGAAATCCAAAGATGAAAGGGCAAAAACTTTAGCCCTACAGTTGGTTTGTTGTTTTGAAAGCGATGAACTAATAGTGGGTTGATCGTGTGGTATGTGAGGTAATGGTTAGTTAAGGTTATATATGATTTTTTTGTTTCCATATGTTCTTCTGCAAAATGATGTTTTACGGTTCTTTTTTAGACGTTACTAAATTTATGTTTTTTTTATCCATAATTTCATAATTTCATTAATTATTAATTTCTATTGTCATAGCAAAAAGGGATTAATGGGCAAAAATTTTAACTCTACAGTTGGTTTGTTCCTCTAAAATATTAAGTATTGGGCCAAACAGCACCATAAAATCTTTAATTACAACAAAATAACCATAAAAATTTTAAACTTCATACTTTAGTCACACATAATCTACCATCTACTATTGATAATAACTTCATTATGTATTTTACGCATACAATCTTTTTATCTTTTCATTCAATATGTAATCTTAATATAATATTATTTATTTTACTCTGCTTATAAGTGTTATTGTCCAGTTCTTCTCATTCAATAAAAATCAAGTGAACACTTGCATTTCAAATGATATGCATTATTTTGTCTTTACAATTACGCCTTTATTTAATTTTAGTTGTGTAATGACTCTAAATACATTTTACACTTTTTATATTTTTTTTTGTTGATTTTTTATAATGTATATAAATAAAGCCCGCGTATCGCGCGGGTTTAACATCTAGTACAGATAAGTCAAACTTCAAAATTCTAGAATATGTGAGCTTTATCCATATTTTATGTTTGCAGTTATATTTTTATTCCTACAATTTTTGGTCAAGAAATCGAATTACATAGAAATTTCGGATTAAAGCATTTTCCAGGAAACTGTGAAGATTTGGATATAACCTGCATCCCAAAGGAAACTCCCCCCATTAATAGTAGGAAAACACTGCCCTACTCCTTAGCTCTGAAGTTATTTTTTGACGCGTATTCTACGCGCACTATAGCACCTTCTCTTTCCATATTCTGTATTTTGTTGAATTTATAGCAAAATTTACAACCCAGAAAATATATACACACAATAATAATAAATTATTAAATAATAAAAACCCGGATTTTTATTTTTATAATTATTTGCTTTTGTCATTCCCAATTGGCTGCCTTCTTTTTTTGCCCCATCCAGGCCAACTATTAGTATATATTCAACTCTCTCAAATTCGCTTCCCTCTCGCCCCTCTTCCCCGTTCTTTTCTCTATCTTAGATTTACTATCCTTTTTTTTTTGTTATCAGTTTTTATTATTATTTTTTTTTGGCGATTTTAGCCGGAATTAGATATGAGTTATTACAATCAGCAACCCCCCGTCGGTGTTCCTCCTGCTCAAGGTTTGATTTTCATATGCTAATTTGATTTTTTCTTTCTTTCTGCCGTTGAATTGCTTGGATCTGAGTGGGGTTTTTGTTTGATTGGGTTTTCTTTTTCTGATTGGGTTGGTTTGGTTGTTTTCGTGGTATTATTATAGGGTATCCACCGGAAGGTTATCCGAAGGACGCATACCCGCCACCAGGGTACCCTCCACAGGGGTACCCGCCCCAGGGTTACCCTCAGCAAGGTTATCCTCCTCAATACGCACCCCAGTACGCCGCTCCTCCCCCTCAACAGCAGAACAATAGTACCGGTTTCATGGAAGGATGGTCAGTTTCCTTTCTCTTACCAATCCCTCTTTTTTTTTTTCTTTTTTTTTGGGTATGCTTTTGTTATCTGAGAAGCCACGATCTGTGATTGTTGATTGGATCTGTCTTTCCTTTTTTTTTCAATTTTTTCCTTTGAAAATTTTGCCATAGTTTGAAAATTGTTTAATTCGCTGGCGATCGCCAATCACCGACGCGGATATATTTTGTCTGGCCCACTTTTGTTTGAACTTCCTTCACTGCCCTCAGCCACCGATCCTTTGTTTTTAACCTACCGTTGAGGTTTTTATTTTTATTTTTTTGTTTAACCATTTATCTTCAAGGAAAGTTTGATTTTCACATATCTTAGTAATCTGATCAGCTTTCAAAGTCTTTAAATTATTTATGAAGAAAAGCGTAGATGGTGTTTGAGTTTTTCCCGGGGTTTCGGTTTTCGTTTGAGTTGTTGAAGCTTTGATATTTTATCCTGCACTAATAACCTGCTTGATCTCTTCCTCTATGCGAGATTTACCCGGTGAACTAGTTATTTTAGTTAATTATAACTCTTTTTTTTTTATTCCCTTTTTGCGTACCTGCTAGTTATGCTTAGGAATCAGGACATTAGATGTTATCACTGAATACGGGATTCAGAATTTAGTATTGTGTTGAATCCTAAGAAGGATTAGCCAAAAGATAAGTCAAAGACACATTTTCGATGGTCTAGGAAACTGTGTGTCTTTATGTTTGTTGGTTTAAAAAAACAGAGGCATTCTTATTTTAACATCACCTGCCCTCCCACCCCACTCCCCAACCTAACATATGAAAGGGTTTGCTTCTTTTTTTCTTTTTTTTTTTTCCTCTTTTAAATTTAGTGAATATATATATGCTGGCTGCCTAATTAGTTGCAACTATTTGTGGGGTGCTGCGATAAATTGTATTTATAAGTGAATTTGTTTTACTGTTTACTGATTGTTGTGTAGAAATCATTGGACTGATGGATAAATTTTCTGTGAATGTGCAGTTTGGCTGCTCTGTGCTGTTGTTGCCTGCTGGACGCCTGCTTCTGAGTGGAGATGTGTGCTATGTTAGAACAGATTTATTTTGCGCTATCCAGATTTAAAGATGAGGGATAGTAGAACTTTGCAAACCTTCATTTTGGTTTGTTATGATTGGATATATGATGAAAGACGATTAATTGTTTATGTCTGACCCTCTGTTGGTGTCGTTTCTTTAGTTAATGATTTGCACTCTGCTTCTCATTGTTCATCTGAATTGGCTTGTCTGCTTTTTCTTAATTATTATCTTTCTTGGTTTGATGCCTGCAAACGGTCAAATTTCTTGGTTATGGATTTTTTTTAAGCCATCTAGAATAATATTACTACCAGTAGACATCCTAAGACTTGCCGTTTATGAAGGACTTTAGACTTGGGGGTGGTGACTTTAGACTTGGGGATGGTGCCGTCGTGAATGGATATTGTATTTTCTCTGTGTCTACCTCCCTACATCATGCCTTCATTGAATCATGGCTATTCATTTTGTCTTGGTTTGTCTTTGAAATTGTCCCAATGAAAGGAACTTGTGAGGTGCAAGTATTAGCAGTGAAACTGTGGATGTAGTTCCCCTTCAGTGGGACGGTTGTCGAAGCCTTATTTTCATGTTAGGAGTTCGTGGTAATATTGATCCTTGAGACATAGTTCCGAGATCCAATTTTCATACTTCTTAACCTACTAGTTTACCACTTAACCACCATGATATCCTGTGCGCCCGAGTTTAACCCGAAATTGAATCTAGGATTACAAGGTATCGTGCTTTTTTGAATTTTGATTGTAGCCATCGCTGTCTGTGTGCGTCATGCAACATATTGATAGCTCCATACCAACATAAAGAAAGCGCGTTTTCTTGAACTCTTGTAGTACACAAACATATTAAGTAATTTTTTTCCAGTGTGGCAGGAGGTTGGGTTGGGGGAAGATAATCTTAATGTTGTCTGATTACCCGGAAACGCTAATTATCAGTTCCCTGTATGTTTATCGGTTACCATAATTCGTAGGAATCACAATGAAGCAATTGAAGTACTTGAAGTTGTTTTCTTGGAACTACCTAGTGAACTCTCGTGGTTTAACGGCATTACATAGGATAATAGAGGAATATTCTTTTCATCCCATTTCAATATTTGTTAAAACTTCATCATCGTAAAGGGGCTAATAAATAAAGACAAATGGAGTTCAAAACAAGAATGCAAACCTTATTAATTGAACTTCATCATTTATAACAAACTCATGTTGACACCATCAAAGCAGACCATCACCAACAGCCAAAAAAATTAATTTACTGTTTGATGCAATAAGCGAGAGGCATATATGTTAGTAAATTTACTGTTTGTTCCAACAAAATAATCCAAATTGTGATTAGTAATTTGTAGTAAAAAAATAGACAATATAAACTTTTTTTTATAGAACAAAAAGAATATTAATTTTCTTCAAACCGGGCCTTTCGTTTATGTGTACGACAAATCTATTTCCTACTTGTTTTCAGAATAAAAAGAGAATACTTTTATCCAAATTCTTATAGCTTAAATGTGATGGCTGCCTTTTAAAATGAATTCAATTGGAGTAACATGACTTGTGCGCCCTGGTATCCTTAAAATGAATGTATCAACAGTAATACTTTTTTTTTTTTCCCTCTTCCCAAAAGACTAAACAGAGAAGGTTGTGCTCATCTTTTTGACACTCCCTTAAACCATCCAACTACCCAAGCCAACTTTTAAACTGGTCCCGTAACTGTAAGGTGGCATGCTGATGAAGTTGCCCAAAGGTTTCCATCCAAATTTGCCCACCTCTGAGTGAGATTATTCTGAAACGGAACTCCTGAAATGTTCACTTTCCAACATTCTTCCCATTTCAAGCATCACAACGAACAATCATTGAAAACCTCAGGCACTGAGGGCAACATCCCAAGTATAATTATCCGTTTTGGCACTTGATTTTCAGCCATCTACGACCTCACAAACAGAGATGCCAACACAATACCAAAGGACGGCCTTGAAAGAAATCAGTAGAAACACATAACGTCCTAAAAAGTCTGATATACTACAGAAGAATTTTAAAGCAGTACCAAATCTCCAGTTGAAGGATTTACTACTGACCCTATAAATCATAGCTCAAGACCGAACATATTTTACCCATATTTACATCTACAGTTCAAGCGATCAAAAAAACTATGCAAACATCATACTGGATCACAAGGAAGCTCTAAAAGTCATTGTTTTTGAAATGCTCATTGCGCCCTCAAGATAATCACGCACGAATCATCTGCATATTGATAAATATCCAGTTAGAATCAGCTTCAGTTTTAATAAAACAAAGTAGTGCCATCACAAAAATTTACAGCACAAACATGTTAGCATTTCATGAAGGTGGCATGAGACAAACATGACCAGCAATAACAAATACAGGGTACACAGGAAATTATAAGTATTAAACCAGACAACCATAAATAAAAACCTCTCTTATTCTCAACCATGCATAATTACCAAAGACAGGTTGAATTATACAAGACTGCCTCACATTTTCAGTTTAATAATAATTTGAATGAAGGTTGATCATATTTTCAGGTGGTTCCCATATAAAGTCACAAAACATTTAGAAAAGAGAAACTAAAAGCAAGTCTGTCTGAGAGAGTACAGGAGTTACATATATCTTGCCAGTGTTTATATTCGCATATTATCACTAGACATCTTAAATGGTGCATCAAAAAACAGATTACTGATGAAACCATACCATCCTTGGTGTATTTCTTCCCTTCAGTGTCTTCATAGCTGCTTCTGCAAAAGCCATTGCTGCTTCTGCATCAGCTTCGGCTGCCTCTGCTTCTCTTGCAGCCTCTTCAGCATCAGCTATGGCAGCTTCAGCTTCAGCAACCGCTTGGGCAGCGGCAGCGGCAGCCTCTTGTGGTGTCATATTTCTGATTTTAGCAAGCTCTAAATCAACCTCGGATTTCATGAGAGTAGCAAGGTCATCTTGGTGGTCAAGAGTAGGCGAATACCTGTGCCTCCCTTCCAAAGGTCCTTCTAGCATTGGGTTAGAAGACCTTTTTCTCTTCTCAGATAATGCTGAAGCTGTTGCGATTCTATACTTCCGTTTCATCTGTTAGAAAAATAATGCGTAAGTCTATTTTCCAAAAAGATAAAATAAAAACAAACCCAAAGAGGGAGAAAAGAAAAACAAAGGTACCAGAAGCTAATAAAAATACAAGGGCAAGTTTTATCAAGCAGCATAATAACAAATATAGAGATTTGAGCGAAACCTTTTTTTTTTTTTAATACCTTTACAAGTTTCCCAGTCGCAGTCAAGTACTTCAATTTTGAAGACAAAAGTCTTTTGAAGTTTGGTGGCGCCCAATACTCATCCTACATGACAATAAACCAGATACATTTGAGTACTGATCATAAATTCTCATTCCATGTTAACTGGATATAATGATGACTATGATCAGAAGTTTTTTCTCATAAAAGTACGAAGAGTAATGAGAATTTGCAGTCTATGAAATCACCAACAAGAGATGTACCTCTATGTATGCAGCTATTGTTGTCTTATTAGAACCGCCAGGTTCCTTCAGATTGTTTATAGCTTCCATGATGAGATTGTCCAACCTACAGCAACGAAAAGAAGGAAACATTCTTGTCAGTGGATTCATAATAATATTTCAGTTTCTACAAATCTCTCAAATTGACAAGAGAATCAAGACCAAAGATCTGAGGATTCCAAGCCTTTTCATAGAGCACACTGGCACTCAAATGGACAGTTTAACGGACTGATTTTTTGAAAATCAATTTTCAAGTTCTGTATTGTAATATTTCAGTAGCGCAATCAACCTTATAATCGATCTTTTGGAGCTTCCAATCTGTGGAGAACCACTAGATGTTGCATGGGACCTTGGATCGACAGTATCATCATCACTTTGAGTTACAGAGCCAATGCCCATATAGTTCTCCCCCTGTTTAGCTGAGCTATGCATTCTTTTGAATGCCAACCGCGACCTCTCTCTTGATCCCAAGCCATTTGCCATGACACTCATGTTTCTCCATTTATCCTGACAGACATGATGTTAAATGTCAAATCAACTATAGACAATAATCCACAAATTTTTGAATGACCATTAAAAAAAACCTAGATTATCAACCTCACAAGGCACTGATAAGAATAACATCTTTAACTGATATAAATTGGGGTAACCTCCAAACTGGAGAAACTTTTACCTTAAGATCCACATTTGAGCGTAGGCACAGAACACCACTGAACTCTGGATCTTTAAGAATCGTGCGCCACTTGCCGGGGCCATGCTTAATTACTCCAGCTTTGAGGGCTGCTTCTTCTTCCGGGGTCCATTTTTGCTTAGGTGCCCCCATGGAAAGATTAAATTAAGATGCTTCCACAAATACACACAGGTAAAACTCCAAACATGCATCTGCCGAGAAGGTTGCACAGTAAAATTAGCATTTGAAGGTTGTTAAAGGGGGCTGGACAGAATAGTTCCATGAAAGATCACAAACCAAAGACGATACTAATTTTAACAAGACTTCAATTAGAGACACACAGAATGGGCCAGACATAAGGATTAAAGTCAAAGAATCAACAGAGATATGGAAGGCTTTGAAAAGGGCTCCAACACACTAAGACTAGATAGCAAGACTCTGCAACAATTCAATAAAAAAACGAGAGCAATAAAGCGTATTCAGCTAAATTCGAGAAAAGCGATGAAATGCAAGCGTTTTATAGAGCAAACAATCATCCAAAAAAAGATTAATATATTCCTACATTTTCTTCTTGTAAAATGAGAAAGTGGGCATAGTTCCCGCCCCAACACAGCCATAATTTAACCAAAACAGCTTCCCAAGTCAAAAACAAGTATCCCAGACACCATACTTCAACTCCTTACACAAATCAGAGAATTTTCAGAGGCACAAAGGACAACCAGGATCCAACTAGAAGATTCAAGCTACACCGACAGGGAAAAGCTAAAAGTGCCCCTAAATTTGCTCAAACAAGAAAATTCAAAATCGAATCTTGTTTGTACCCAGAGCTAAGATACGAATCAAGGAAACAAAACCCATGCCATCAAAGATCAAAAAAAAATTCACCTGGATTTGCATGAATTCCTATGGAAACCCTAGTTCAATCCAAAGAGAAATTAAAAAAAAAACTGCGAAACCATAGATCGAAGTGCTAGAACGTACCAAAACAAAAGAGTCCTCATGCCAGGCATCAACCGGGCCATACCGATTCAACAATTTTTTGTGGGGAATGGAGCTTCGGAATTTAGAAAATTTATCTGCGTGAAAAAAAATATTTGTATTTATATGCTGGTCTAAGTACCTATCTTTGCTGATGACGTGAACAAAACAGATTTTCCAAAAAGTCGTGTGGTTGACATGACGCTTTTAGCGAAAATGAGGCAAAAGAGCCACGGTTTTCGCCACCTCACGGAATCCACGCCTTTTGTAAGGAAAAAGCTCTGAAAATACGCCTTCAGGTGGAAACGTTACAAATGAATTAAACCTTTTTTTTTTTTTTTTTTTTTTTTCTAATATCAATAATCAATCAATAATAATTAGCACATTGCTGGCAAAAGGGGCATAATAAGGAGTCCTTAATCCCAACACAATTCACAACAAACGAACAAACGTAAGAAACCTATTTCAATCACAATCATTAGTTTCTTGTGACAGGAATCTACGCTATACTTTCCTTTGTCTGTTTCTCTTTTCTGTTATTATTCCGGTAAGTTCCTGCCTCAGGCCTGTTTCTCCCCTTCGAGTTGCTGATGCTCTGTGTTTTGTTGGCATTGTTTCTTGGAAGTTTTGATTATAACTTGGTATCTTGTTGTCCAGCAGCTATGGAGGAAGATTCAGATAGAACCCAGTTCTTGCTTGGTCGCATTCAACAGTTAGAACGAGGTATTATTGTGTGTAGTTCAGTAGTATGATATATGAATTCACGACGCTTTTTCATATGTTTCAGAAAGAATCAATCCTTATGGCTGCGTTTCCTGTTCTTTTGTAGAAATTGATTAACGTTTTTGCGGGAGTTAGTTTTTATGATTTGGAAATTACATTCATGAATGAAAAGAAATCGGTTTAATCTCTTTTCTTTCTTCCCAAAATTTCCCACCAATTCTACTAGTGTGACTTATTTCCCTCCATCGCTTGATGGAGCATATTTTTACCCAAAATCTCTTTGTGAACAAAGCCTTTGTACAACTGGTTTTCCCAAAGTTATTCACCTTAGTTGATTGGACCATTTTCTTAAAGTTCACTTGATAAACAAAGCTTTTGCCCTACTGCCAGGCTAAGTTGCACAACCTTTGTCATTCTAGTGGTATATTAGAGGAGAAAAGAGCAGGACGGCAGATTCATAAGATTTGAAAGCACCTTCAATGCGTAGCTTAGATGTGTATACAACTTGCTAATTACATGATCAAAGGACTTAGAGATTAGTGCTAACCCTATCATTTAGTCCTTTTTGTTTGTTTGTTTGTTTTTTTCTTTTCTCTCTTTTTCACAACTTACAAAATCCTTGCAATTTTCTGCTCTTTGAGCTCGCTAAGTATATGTTTTATGTCTAACGACTATGCTAGGGAGATGTTTATTTGAAAATCTTCTAATTGGTTCTAAGTTTACCTTTAGAATTTGTGACTGTGTCCTCATGCTTTGTTCTCTTTATGATATAAGCCATTGTGCTGTCACTTTCTAGCTAATGATGTTTGAGGTGTAATTTCCATTTTACCGACAATTGAACAACAGCTTCTAAGTTAGGCGTAATCGGTACTTGCATGTAGAACGTGACGAGTTACAAAAAGATATAGAGCAACTATGCATGCAACAAGCTGGACCTAGCTACCTGGGGGTGGCTACTCGAATGCATTTTCAGCGGTAACATACTTTTTTAGACCTTCCTTCTTGCCTCTTCCATTTGTAGAGAACCTTTTTTTTTTTTTAATTTTTTGTATGAGAGGATTTTTTAAAAATTTTTTTTTGATATAAAAAAATTACTCTAAATAGGACAGCTGCATTGGAGCAGGAAATTGAGACATTGAACAAAAAGATTGCTGCATGCGCAAGAGAGAATCAGAACCTTCAAGAGGAGCTGTCTGAGGCTTACCGTATCAAAGTGATAATTCGTTCCAATTCTGTGGCATCGCTTGCATAACTTTTTTGTTTACCTACTTATGTATTTTATGCTGCCTTCCAGAGCCAACTTGCAGATCTACATAGTTCAGAAGTCTCAAAGGTATTTTTTGTGGAGGACTATTGAACCGAGAAAGCATGTTGAATTAACACAGGGGATACTTATCATCTTATACTATGTGTTTGCTAGAACATGGAAGCAGAAAAGCAGCTGAAATTTTTTCAAAACTGTGTTGCTGCTGCATTTGCAGAGCGGGATAATGCAATTATGGAGGTTGTGGTGATTACATTTGTTACTTTTTTCTGGACTATTCAATTTGTTTTCTGTGTTTTAGCATAGAGCTATTCACAAAGAAGAACTTTTTTAAAACGAGAGGGGGAGAGAGAGGGGGGTATACAAGGTTAAAACGGCTTACCTCCTACTCACAACTTCTCAGCACTGGAAACCACTGGGACAAGCATTGATAAGAAAACACTTTGTTTGCTCTTCTGGAAATTCAATCAGAACTGCAACTCAGGCAGGTTTTGAATCTACAAAGCCTCTCTTCTCAAAGTAATTGGCTGCTCTACACTAGTCTTTTCCTACCTGCCAGTTGCAATAACCTCAAACGTTATGGCGCCTGTCCTCCTTGTCTCTAGTTTCAGAATTCTGATGTGTCACCCATGTTTCTGCTTTTTAGTTGGGCAGGGGAGAAAAAACATATAATTTGACAAACTGTTATTTGTCTTCATGTGCTAGTCATTCACAAATCATATTTGAAAATTCTGTGGTTGCAGGCTGAAAAAGCAAAGGAGAAAGAGGAGTTTGTGTCTCGGGAATTGGACAGCTATAAAAAGAGGTACTTACTTCTCAAGATACTGATTAAATATTGGTGACTATAGATCCTTTTATCTTGTTTGGTCTGTAATAATATCCTTTAAATGGTGATGACTGATTACTATATGTATGTTTGTGCTTTGTACCAAAATGACTTTGCAGGGTTGAAGAGCTTACTTCCACATCTGTTGAAGAAAAGAAACTCATTGCTGCAATGCAGATTGATCAAGAAACAAAAGAGAAGCAGATGGAATCTTTCAAAAAGGTAGAAAGGTTTTAAATGTCATCAGCTGAAATTGCACGTTTTATTTGTAGTAATGAGGGTCTAAAAACTCGAACGGGATACTATGTTTGAATTTCAAAACCACTAGTACTGCAAAATTGCTGTATCTTGTGGGTCACTTGAATGAGTTTAGTTTTGAACATGAGTCTGTGGAATGAGGGGACCTGTGATTTTGTTGCTTGTTTTTGAAGGTAAGATGGGAACAAAGGGAAAAAAAACTGGGGAGAAGAGGTGGATTTGGTGGGGGGAGGGGGGTTGGGTTTTGGAGGGGGAGGTGGTAGATGAAACCCTAATTTCGCACGTGAGCCTTCATGTTCGTAGGTGTTTTGCTTTTGTTCTTTTTCCCTCTTCTGTTACAATAAAAGAAATGGTTGAAAAGATTTTCTCTTCACATGGTGTTCATTTGTGCTCTAGTTCTTATTGGATAAAATCTCTCTTCATGACAGGTTATTGACAAGTTTTATGCCATCAGAGAAGAAAACTTGAAGGTATTTGATGATACAAGCTGGGAAGATAAATGCGAGCGCCTGTTGGGGGATTCTTCAGAAATCTGGAGTTTCTGCAGTGAGGAAGAAACTTCCACATCAAAGTACATTGTGCGTTCCAAGTTACGAATTCCTTTATTTTTTAATGGTACTTGCATGATAGCTTCTTGAGACAAAGGAAGATAACTTTGTGAATTATTTGTTATTATTATCACATTTGTTCGGTCTTACTTTGTGGATGGGAACTATACTCATTTTTGCGGATGAATCGATTATAGGGGCACAGTATTTGTTGCAGCTTCAAGTGTATGATTATTGTTTCTTTGAAATTCTTGTATGTAAATTCATTCTCCTTGTCGTCATAATTTTATGCTCGTGTAATATTATCATTATTCACCACAAAAGTCATCCTGTAGATGAGATTTTATTGTTGATTGTTAAAAGCATTACGATCACTCTCATGGTTAGAAACCTTACTCGTCTTGGTTGTCTATGTTTGAGTTGGATGTAGGAATATTTGATTTGTGCAATTCTTGGTCGTCAAATGACATAATGGATGGATATGATTTGCCGCCTGCCTTGTTCTCTATGAAATTGTCGGTACTGCTAGAATAGATTTGAATGTAATTCTCAGCTGTTCTAGAATCTACTCTGAATATGCATTCATAACATTCTAATGCTTATGCATTGATATCATAACTTTCTTGTCTTAAATTCTGATTGAAATACATACTACAGTAATGTTTTGTTGTTTTCCTGCTGTGAAACATTTATTGTAATAAATAAAAGTACCTTTTTGGTTTTGCTTTGTGCAACATGATTAACTTGTCTTCAGACAGAGTTCTCTGGAACAAGAAGTTGAGACTCTGAGAAAGTCCTTTGATAATCTTCGAAACAATATGCAAGTGGTAAAGATCTTGTTTTCTTTACCTCATTTATTCTTTTCTCTCTTTAATCTTCTGAGCTTGTGCTTCTCTCTCTCTCTCAACTCTATCTCTAAGCACATATGCCTCTACCTGCACTTTCCATTATCAGGGATTGGAAATAGAAAATCATTTGAAGAGGAAAGTTCGCACTTTGGAGAGGGATAAGGTAAGAATGTGCAATATTTTAGGTCATATAATTTGTCTCTTGACATTTGGAGGTTTGATTAAAGATTTCGGTACTGCCAGGTTCTTTTACAGGAAAAGGTTGAGAAAGGGTTATCAGCATTACATGATTACCATTCCAAACACAGGATAGAGGTGATGCAAGAGTTAGATGGGGGTTATTCCCTTCTCAAAGCAACTGTTATTGCGGTTGAAGAAAAGTTCAAGCAGCTTGAGTTGATGACCGAACAAAAGTCTCCCAAGACACAAGATATTGAGCTGCCTGAGGATGACTGCCGAGATGTTCATGTAAATTATGATACAGCCCTGGTTTCAGCTGCTCAGGCAAGTGACAAGCTTCTACTGCTGTAAGCTACACTATTTTCTTATCTCCTTATGGAGCAAATACCATCAATTTCTCCTGGTGCTCTGATGATTATTAAATTAAAAGGAGTTTGTTTGACCCTTAGTAAGTCTTAAGATTTGGTGGAATTGGTTAAATGCCACTTATGGTATACCTATGGTTTATTTCCTCAAGCAAACTAGAATCTTTCAAGTGCTAATCTAATCATTCTGACACAGGGTGATAATCCTGGTTTGGAACCTTCGGCTATTTTGCAAGGTGGAGATGCCTCTGAAGCCCTTGCTCAGGCATTGCAAGAGAAGGTTGGATATCTTGTCAGAAATATTATCAATTGTGATTAAGTATCGTTAGTTATTTTTATGTGTTGTTACAGGTTGCAGCACTTTTGCTTTTATCACAAGAAGAAGAAAGGCATTTACTAGAGAGAAATGTGAACGTAGCTCTTCAAAAGAAAATTGAGGATCTTCAGAGAAACCTGCTTCAGGTTACTTCTCAAACTCCATTCCCCCCTTCTATTCTCTGTTTTGTGCACCTAGGTTTTTATTGCAAGAAAAGCTTCGATGCACAGTTCTGCTGTTTAACAGTTTTTGCATGGTCATATATACTCAGTTATAGACATGTGCGAATGATTCGTTAGTCTGATTTTCAGGAGAGCAACTGAAAACAAAGCAAACAATTACTAACTACTATGTCAACTTGAAGTTACTTAAAAGAACAAACAAGAATTTGTAGGAGGCTGGTAGTATCAGTATATATGTAGCGACTCACTGTGCTTTATTGGTTTAGGTCACTAACGAAAAGGTGAAAGCACTGATGGAGCTAGCACAAGTGAAGCAGGAATACCAAATTCTTCTAGAGTATGTGAAGTGCGACCATTTTTTTTTTCTGTGGATGATTGCTTGTACAAATACCAATATTTAATGGCAAGCGCAATTTGCAGGAATGTCAATGCAGGGGTAACACGTGGACAGCAATCTGCTGGAGGGGAAAAGAAGATTATTAGAGACAAAGATGGAAAACTGAAAAATTTGTTGAAGACGAGTTATCTGAGACACTGGGTTGGTAACATTGGTTCCGCCACAGATAACACTGACCGTGAACAGAGTTTCAACCAAAGGATGCGAGCCAACAGCGTGGATTTTGCAAGGTTGATGAAAGTTTGACTGCGTATTTAGTTTTTTCGAATTGGGTTACAAGAAATAGGGGGAACTTGTAGTTTCTTGTTTGCTAAGGGCTGGGAGAGAATTAACATTTTTTATGCATTACTGATGTTTTCCGTTGTTGTGTCTTAATGCTTTCAGTATGAAGATTGAAAATGCTGCTCTTAACGAGAGCCTGGAGAGTATGGAGCACCTCACCTCTTCAATACGTAAACTTCGTCTTGCACTCTTGAAGGTACTCTTTGTTTCTTCTGGACATATACTGATTTTGAGGGAATTTTCCTCTCAACTGGAACCGTGGATCTTTATATAACTGTTATTTAGTGCTATCCGTTCTTAAAGTCGAGAGGATTGTCGTTGATTTTGACTTATGGAACAATTACTTTTGCCACTTACCTAGGTAAATGAGTCAGCTGTATTAGTAAGTGCAAATAATGGTTCGTCACATGCCGTTGATGACATCATAACGGAGGCCAAATTGTTGAAGACTGCCCTTGGCAGCTCACTCCCCATCAGTTGGTCTGCTGAGTCTGATGTTGAAACACAAGTGGACAGTTTCGAAGATGCAATGAACTCCATGGAGGATGTCTCAACTTGTGATAAAGTAGATTTTGTCTGTGCCGCTGGACTTGAGATGATTGAGCTCTTGATATTTGCAGCTCAAGTGTTTAAAGAGCGTGCAACCAGCGGAAAGTTAGAAACTCCTGGGACAGGTTACCAGTGATACACTCTACAGTAAGGGTACATATTTTTAGCTTTCCAGTTGACTTTTTCTATGGATGAGCATGGACGATGTATTATAGCATCCATTTGTACATGATTCCACTTTTCTTTTCTTTTCTTTTTTTTTTATTTTTTTTTATCTTTAAAAAAAAATTCCTCCTGGGCGTAGGTCTGTTAACATATCCCCTACAACGTGTTGATTATTATTTTCAGACATGAAAGGCTAGCTTTCTTCATCGTTTTGCATCCTTATGCTCATGGTCGAAGTTGCTTTTAAAATTGCCCTAATCCTTAACACGATCGCAGCTTTTTCTTTGTTCTTTTCCACCACCTGTTTTCGGAGAGGCAGAAGATATTGATAAAGGGACATTGTCTAACAAGAAAAGCAGGAAATGCCGAAGTTTTTGCCAGCAACAAATTGTTCACACATAATGCAAATAAAGATTTACAAAACTAAGGAAGGAGTCCCTGCAAATCCACACCAGAACCTTAGGACAACCGAAACTGTACAAAACTAGGATGAAAAACTCTCCTGGAACTCACATTTATTTGCACTCATCCAGGAAAAGATCCAGTGTTAGTGAAGATCCGTCGCTATGATTCCGAATTCATCTCCACGCGAGCGACAAGTGGTGGCTCCTTCTCCATGTCGTTTTCCAACTGGCTGTAATTGCCTCTCTCCTTAAAGAGTTGGATATGATGGTGCTTACAGTAAAGTTTTCCTTCATGAGCAATGTAGTTCGATGGGCTTATTGTACAACCTCCATGGCTGCACTTGAAGCAGCTTCTGTGATATGCTGTTCCATTGACACTTACCTTCAAGGTAAAAAACAGAAGATCAAAAGTTATTATGTGTTTTAAGTTACCCATTTTCCATGATGCAGAATAAATATCAAAATGATCAAAGCTCAAGCGAGAAAAAGAAAGGATATTTTGCCCTGTACCTTCTCAATTGGATAGACAGTCTTGCTACATCCCACGCACTTGTCCCTGGTGCCCGCGAAGAGACTCGAGACTTTGGATGCATTCTGTAAAGTACATTAACATCAGCAGCTAACTATGAATGGAGATTTATTATTGTGTTTCTTCATATTTATAAAGATGCACAATGAATAACTCAATGATCATTTACCTCATGGTCCACAGGCTTTTCTTGCTTTACAATTTTTGGTGTTCCTGGAAAGAATGTAAACGAATTTAGGATGAAAAGAATATGTTTTCCATCTAATTTGCACCGGTATGGATCCTTGAATCAACGCAATTGTATCTCTAATTTACCTTCAAAACTCTTGTCAAGGCTACCAGTTCGTTTGAATAACTGATCAAAATGAGGCCGGCAATAAAGCACCCCTTCAAAAGAGTTGAAGTTGCTCAGCTGTACAAGAAAAGATAAAACTCCATTACATCAAAACATTGCTAATGTGTCTGATTTTTATCAATTCCAAGATCATATATTTGGTAGGCAAAAAGGGCTAAATTACCTTGAGGGTGCGTTTGCAATGGTGGCATCGGAAGCAGGCCTTGTGATAAATACGGTTATCTGCTGCCAACTTATCAACCAAATATACAGTCTTTTCACAAGCAGTGCATTTCTGGGTTGTGCCCACAAATGCCTTGTTTCTTTGGAAGTTTTTAAAAGAAGAAAACAGAATGGATGAAATGAAATCAAGAACAAGTTGCTGGAGAAGAAATGTTCAATCTTCTCTTTTTCTTGCTCTTGAAATCTCCCTCCTCCTGTTTCCACTATGGATGCCTCTGCTTCTTCTCTTCCTCCATTAATTATTGAGAATGAAGCATAAAGCAGCTTGGTGAAAAGGCCTATGAAATTGCCAAAGTAGTTCTGCGGATTGGAGCCCTTTGCGAGGATTAATGATTAATCATGGATGTGGGCATTGGCGCCATTCAGTAATGATGTTGTCCGAACTTAAAGCCATCCCATCCTTCTTATTTTTCTTCTTCCATGTTTAGCTTTAGCTTTTCCCCCTTGCCCGTACATTTTTTTCACTATGATTCGCAAACAATTACTAATAGTCTAATATTTGCCTTCATCCACTTTGTTCTACTCATTTCACAACAAAATAGAGTATTTTTTCGAAAATAAAAGAGCACGTACTGTCTTATTGGTTCCAAACAAAATTCATTGTTATTGAACTAAAATAATACTCAGTACAATTAACATAACTCTTATTTTTGGATCAGATGAAACATTTGTTTGGTATTATGCACACATTTTTAGCTAGTTTTGGTTCTGATCTTTGATTTTGCCTCTTTAGTTTCGGTTCGTTTAATTGTTTCACGTTTGTGGTAGATTCAATGTCCAAAATCATGTCAAGAGCTAGAGTATCATGCAAATTATTGGATAATTGCACATGTGCACGTTAGAGCTTCATTAGTACTAATTGTTTAACCAATTAACCATTTTCTTCTGAATTAATTTACCCAACAAGGAAGTACTTTTGCAATCGTTTCTCTCAATATAAAGTTGAAATAAAGGGTGCTTAAGCATGATTAGGCGACTACTATAATGTGATTAGCATAGAGAACTTTGTTTAAAACGAAAAGAAAAAAGCACGCGAATACATTCATATCTATTCTTTATATGCACTACATCATATCACAACGTGCGATTGTGCATTCTAATCATCAAAACAAAAGTTCATCTAAAATTTTACTCCTACATAAAATAATTGTATTTTTGTAGTAACAATCAGCTAGTTATGAAAAAATGCCAGTACTTGACGATGATCATCAAAGGGCATTTGGTCTAGTGGTATGATTCTCGCTTTGGGTGCGAGAGGTCCCGAGTTCGATTCTCGGAATGCCCCCACAATGTTATTATATATATTGTTTTGCTCCTTCTCGAGGAAACATTTGTAAGTTGATGAGCTCTGTTGAAAGCTGAACCAGATCACATATCCCCCAGACTCCAACCGGTAAATTCATTCAACTTTTTTGTTCCTTTGCTATAGGAACAGTTTGAGGAAATTGAATATATCATATTCCCAAGTTTCAAAAAACAACATTTACCTTGGAGCAAGAGAACCATACTTTTGACTCAGATCGCAAAACCAAACCCTCCCTTTGGGTGACAAATTTGGAAGATATATCAAGAGGTCAAGTTTTGAAATTACGGGTTTGGAAATTGATAAGTCCTTCTTGAAAATTGATAAGTCTCCTCTATCATTCTTGTAGAATGCAGATTGAGCTCTGAAGTGGATTTGCTAGCTCGTGAAGGTTGTACCTTGTTATTCTTCTTCGAACTCATTGTAATATGTTTTGATGTAAAGGCTTCGTTTATTTATATATACCTGTAAGTTTGAAGCATCCTATATTTAAACTCCTCTTCAATTCTCTTTTGTTATATTGAATGAAATGTCACAGTTATGTTCATGCGCCATTGGGTTGGTGATGCTCTTTGTTTTTTGTTTTTTGTTTTTAATTTTTTTATTTTAAGGAGTATTACGGGAAGTACATAGGTTAAATGTGAAATTAACAAAATCAGAAAAGGATTTAGGTAGAATTTTTATTCTCACTATTGTAATTTGTTCGTGAATAGGAAACTTGATTTGAAAGAGGAATAGGACGTAAGTTCCTTATATATATTTTTGGTACATTGTAATTTTCCTAGTTCTACTGGCAGCTCTACCAAATCTTGTAACTGCATCGTCTCTTGCTAAGATTGTTGAACCATCAGTTGTCGGATCTGTTGATAATGTACTAAGGATGATTGATTTTCTACTACTGATAGTTGCACTTGTTGACACTGTAACGATGACTACTGCAACTTCACTGTTGATTGCTCAAATTGCTGAGGTTTTGTTGATGACGGCTGCAACTCTTGGAGTGACGCCTGTGATTGCTGCATCCATCTAGACTCTACCAATAATAGTTGTTGTATTTATTGAATTTATTTTCCAAAATGTTGCACTTGTTGAACTTGTAACAACGGTTGTTGGATCAATACTGTGGACGGGTCAACTTGCTTAGATTGCGTTGGAGATGGCATCTCATTCAACTGTGTCGCTACCTCATCGGTTGGTCGAGAATCTGCTGGTGATGAATGTGACTGCTTGATAGGCGGAGACCATGTCGGTGATGACTGAGTCAGCATTAATGACAATTGGACCTGATGAAAGTCTACCGGCAATGATTTATAGTGTGGGGTATGTTCCCGCAATCGATTCAAAATCAGCTCTGTGAACTCTTTTAATTGCTGAAGATGTAGCTGCATTGCTGATTGTCTGGTCTGCTCAGACTAGGCTGATTGTGGAACCTCATAAAACGATAATTGAACCTGTTGAGACTCCATCGACAACGAGCATAACGCTTTAAGTTGTGCCGATGATTGTTGTTGAACTGCGTCTAGAGACTTTTCAGTTGCTGGGAATGTAACAGCATCGCCGGCTGTTCGATCTGTTGGGGCAGCTTCGTGGAAAGTAATTGAAGATGTTTGTCCTTACAAGGTACAATATGGGATTCTGGTCGGAAATTCTATGTATTGGCCCATAATTTACAATTGCACATCAATCAGGGAAGAATATTTGTTAGTCTCCTTAGACATTGAGGAAGAAAATTTTGAAGTCATAAACCGTTAAAATTCATTTCTGACACCAAAGATGATCGGTTCCACAAGATTGGTTGATCTCAAAGGATCCCTTTGCGTCACAAATTTGGACGATATATCAAGAGATCTCGTTTTAAAATTCTGTGTTTGGAAATTGACAAGTCCTTCTTAGAATTGGGTACAAGAGTACAACGTCAAACTGGATTGGGCCAAAGACCTACTGGATTTGGATTCCTTGAGATCATGTCCACATTCTTCTCTGGAGAGAGATTTAATAATGGACTCGAGAAGTTTAGAGACGGTCTGTGTCTTCAATCCAGAGAAAAATAAGGTCGGGACTTCACAGAAACCTTTTGTTTATGATGATGAAGAGTTGTCTTTTTGTAAGTTATTAGGTTTCTTTTCGGAAATGTGGACCTCTTTTAAACATTAAATTTGAACTAAAACATGTGGAGATGATATTATTATTATATTGAACGGTGATTGAATTCATTGTTGCTTAATAGTAGTTACGTCGGAGTTTTGATTATAGATAGCTAGTAGACTAGTACCCAGGGAGTGCAATCGGGAATTGATGTTTCTTTAATTTCATTTTTATTTATTCATATTGCGGTGATTAATCCATCTTCATAAGTGATAGGCACCTCGTCTGATGGTATGGAAAACAAATTCTTCCATGGACCCGGATCCACCACTTCTCCCAAAAAATTTGACATGTGTTACAATTTAAGGACCATGTTGGGAGTCTACAAAAAGTTTGTGGGTCTTTCTATAATTTCAGTTAATTACGTGTTAGTTTTTATTAATTTAAAAATAAAATTTTACAAAAACATTTAAAGCATTAAAATGATTTTATCTCTTAATTCGTCAAAATTTAAAACATGTTATATATATAATTTATAGTACTCGTCGAGATTTATCGAATAAGATTCATGTTATATATATAATTTAAGGTACATCCATAAAAAGTTTGTGATTTTTTATGGATGTACCTTATGAAGAGATCAATCAAGTGATTTTAATCTTTTCAAACTAAATAGAAAATCAGTTTCATATATTTTAAAATTTACAAATCAACTTTGTAGTGATGAGATAGCTCTATTAACTATGTAAAGAAAATAATCAGTTTTGAAAATATTTTTAGGGTTTTTAATAGTTTCAATCTCTACATTTTCATCAAAACGCGTATTTCTATGAATTTACCTTTTTCTTCAAATTTAGGTTCTATGTCCATCTTGACACCAATTTTATAGTTGAAGTTATAACATTTTGAATCCATCTTTTCTGTATTTTTCAAAAAAATAAAATAAAATAAAATAATTAGACTTTTTGATTATTATATAAAATAAACAAAGTCATATATCAACGTCAAGTCGATTTTTTTTAATACAACATTTATTAGTACTAAATTTTTCATATATATGTGTGTGTGTGTGGATGTGGACACGGGATCCCTCCCAATTCCCTCCCAATTCGGAGGACCTAATCGATGGACTATTTCGCCTAATGGGAAGGTCACCCCTGATACAGTAAAAAACATTGAATAAATTTTTTTCTCGCACAAATCGAATAAAAATAGACAAATCGTGGCTATGCTTGATGCCTTCATCGATTTTGTTGATCCTGCACCAGCTGCAGTTGTCCCACCGACTGTGGACCAGTAGGGAGGTGGTAACCAGTGAGTGGGAGCTGCATGAGAGGAAGAGTGATGTGGATAGCTTTGTAATAGCTTCACCTTTGAAATAGTGAACAGGTTTTTGGTGTAAATCCTTTTGAAATACTATCTATAAATATGAGCATGACTCTTTTAAATTTTTTTTTTTTAAAAAAAGTAATTACATATGAGTAGATGAGTTCACCCTGGCCAGAAATCCCACAATTGTGAATTGCGTCAAAAAACTCCTGACATTTGGGTATACCATTGCGTTTATACCAGTACAGATAACTCAATACTCAACCGCTTCCTACAATGTAAAATTTAAAATAAATATGTTCTACTTCCACCGCTTGAAGAAACCAAATATTAATAAACCAAAACCATAACCCGAAAAAAAAAAGAACCATTTACATTGATGTTAAATCATAACTCTTCCAAAGTTAAATAAACTCTGCGAATGACATTGCCTCAAAAGGCACATCATTTGGAGACACATTCCATTAGCCAAAGTGTACATGGAAGAAAACGATTCGTAATGATGCAATTCAAGTTGTTGCAGGAGGAATATTCAATGCAGTAGGGATTGATCATACTTATACCATCAGTAATTTCCTAACACCTACTTCAGTAACTCAATCCTCTAAAAAATAATTCTTAAGGTACTGCTGGCAGTTGGCCTTGGGACACTTGAATCTTCTCAAGTTACTTTCTATGGCAGCCTTCATCATTTCCAGGTGGCAATCAAGACGCCAATGGTGCCCACAGTTTGCCACTGCCGACCCTTCTTTACTGCAGATGTATCGGAAATAGTCCTCTTCCTCCTCCTCATTGAAGTCTACCTTACCACCAAAATAAGTAGCAGACTATTTTGAAACCACCCAATTATCTTCCTTCACTTCCCAGTCGTACGACACCATCCTGTCCCCATCTCTCACAATTCTATAGGCCCCGGGCGGAGGAGTACGCAGAACATCAACCTTGGGCAAATTTTCCGATATCGGACGTCTACACCTCTCCCCCCTATAACAGCAAACAAACTAGGAAAAATGTTTTAATCATTAAATATAAAGACTAACAGCAGTTACAAATGTAAAAATTTAAATAATAATTATTTAAATTGTTTTATCTTTGTTACTGTTTTTTGGTCTTTAATGAAAGCATTATCATTCAAAAGGTCTCAAACAACACACAAGTACCGTTTAAGGAAGTATGAAAACACACTTTATTCAAGATCGATTCATGAAAGAGCATTCTTTAACAAAAGCATTATCATCAACGGGGGAAGAAGCATCTCAAAACTCTGGTAGAAAACTACTACTTGCTACAAAATTAAATAATTGAAAAGATGAACTAAATACATTTTTATATCATCACTCTCTATTATAATTGTTACTTCCACATATTCCAAACACGATAGAATATAGTAGTTTTTGTGTTTAGGATGTTGTACACATTCTTGATAGATACATCAAAATTATCCACACTTTTGTTTTAAAAAAAAAAGAAAAAGAAAAAGAAAAATATTTATACATACAAGAAACAATTTTTTTTCAACATGATTTCATTAATTATATACCAAACCTTTTTTCCTTAAACGTGTGTGTGTATATATATATATATATATATATATATATATATATATATGTACACTAGGGGTGGTGCTGCACAACGTGTAGCCTAAGGTGAGCAGTAACCCAGTTGGTTTTGAAATTTTTACTTGGAATAGTGATAGAATTTATGATATCAAAATGATTATATAGATTATCCAAATTACTCTTGTATGTGGCATGTATTAATTAATCATCCTTTTACAGAAACATAATAG